ATAAGTTAAATTAAAAGAAGATAATCTACAACCTCTAATATCAAATAAATATTTTTTTAAAGAGAGATAGTCTATTCTATTCAAGAAAAATATCACTTTTAGGGAACTAAAATATTAGATTGAAGGTAAGTAGTTCACAACCTTCAAAATATAGTAATAAAAGTAAAGTAGTGCACTCACTTCTAAAAATAAGACAAGAACAATGAGTTAGTATTCTTGTCAATCTATTAAGGAAATGAATCTCAAAGAACTAAATGATTAATATATTCTTATGTCATTCAAAAAGACTAAAAAATCACTCAAAGATGGTATGATATTAAACTAGAATGGCTATTGCTAAGAATAAGAAGACTAAAGAATTTTAAAACAAGATTGAAGACTATAAAGGCTTTAATTATCACTGATAAGAGTGAAGAAGGTTTTATTCTTGTTTCTATATATACTTTCTAACTAGAAGCTATATAACAATGTTTTATAGTATCTCTAACATGTGTCTAATTTATAAGATACATGTTTTAACTTATAAGGCAAGTTTCTTATATGTGTGCCACATCATTAGCTTGTACTATAAGCTATCAATACATACAACATGTGGCTAATTTTTTGGCCAAGTTTTTAACCTACTAATCATCAATAGATATGTATAAAAGTGAAATTGCATCTATAAAGCTTCTAAAAAGCTTAATTTTAAGCTATTATCAAATTAAATTAACTTTATTTAGTCATAATATTTAATTAACTATTAAAATAAATATATATGTCTATAACATAAATATGTATATATTTATCTAAATTTAAGGAATTAAATAGAAATAAATAGAAATAAATAAATATAATAATATCTTATAGAAAAGTGTCCTAAAAGCTTTATAGATACAAATTTGACTTTTTACGAATTTGTAAGTAATTGATAGATTAAAAACTTGGCTAATAAATGGAGCATATGTTACACATGTTTGTGACATGCCATATGATACATATGTAGGAAGCTTGTCTTACAAATAAGATGCATGTTAGAGGTCATAGAGAATGTTCCTATATAATTCTTAGTTAGATAGTATGTATGGAAGCAAGAGTGAGGTCTCATTTACTCTTATTAATATTTTTTTAGTCTTTGGCAATTATAAGGGTAAATTTCTCCCTCCATCCAAATTACAAGATGGCCTCAATTAAGAGTTGTTTGTAATTGGTCGTATAAAGTAGAAGTAACAAGAACAAGAAAAAAAGAAGAATAATACAAAATAAGTGAACAAATATAATCAAGCAATTGTACATTACAAAATTAGTCATAGTTTATTTACTAAATTTTTACCTTGTAAAAAATAAAAATAAAAAATAAAAAATAAATTTTTAGATAGATAATTCTTTTATCTTTATAATAACATAAAAAAATATAAATCAAAGTTACTATGAGTAAGTTATGATAGATTAAAGATAAAAAGTAAATAATAAAAAATTTAAGTAAATAACTTTTACTTCAAAGATAATTTGCTGTAAGAGATCAAGACTTCGAATCTCACTAAGGCTCACAAGTAGTGTATATGGATTTTTAGACAAGCTACAAGGCCTTAGTCTTATCTTCCTACCTAAATCCAAGATGCTACAACCCATGTGCAACTTATGGACTTCCTTTTCTACAAGGACTAGACTAACTATTAGTCCTCCTATTTTCTATTGGTAAAATTATTTTTTTGCATTTTTGACTTCACTATGGTGTATAAAAACATCCAATTAGCCTTAGAACCTTGTATAATTGAATTTCATATAATTAACTAAAAATATATGAAATTCTCTTCATGCTTCTTGTAATTACTAACTAATCATTGATAGGATTTTTATAAGTAATAATTATAGATAGGAGGACAATGAAAATATTGATCTCAAGAACTAATCTTTAATACTTAAAAATAAATAAAAATAAAAAAATAACTGAAATAATTACCTCCAAGATTTATTAAAACTTCATTTTTATGACTTTTCTTCCAATAAGACCTTTGTATTTAGAAATACTTCTAAATTTTAATAAATAATTAAATAATCAAAAAGACTCTCTAACCTTAATATTTTTATAATAAAATGACTTAAAACTATATTTTTGACCAATCCACTAATTAGTGGGACTCTCAACAATAGCCAATTTGATTAATTTTATAATATTTTTGAGTAAATATCTACTCTTTTTGAGTGAAAAAAGAATATTTTTAAGATTTTTATTTTTTTGTCACTCATATCCTTGATAATAATTCAATATACACTCTACAAGCATAATAAAAAATAATGTGCATAGTATATATAGTATATTTATATGTTTCTTTGCTAGAATTACTTTGAATTTGAATATTTGATAGATGAGCATGCAAAATAGTTATCAATAAAATATGATGCTAATATTAGAGAAATTAACAGATTTAAAAAATCAAAGTTTTAAAATTAAAATGATAATCTTAAATTAAATTGATATTAAAATATTTTAAAAAATATTCAAAAATGATAGTATTTATGAATTTTTAAATTTATATATATTTTAAATGTTCTATTAATCTATAAATATTTTTATAAAATATCAAAAAGAATATGAAGATTTATAATAATAATAATAATAATAATATTTCTGAAATTTTAATAAAAAAATAGTCTAAAAACAGCAAGATATTTTTCAAAGTCAATAATATTCTCAATTGGTTTAGACTTTAAGAAATAAAAATATGTTTACAAATTTGAGGATTTCTTGAATTTTGTGGTGTGTGTACATGTGAATTTTGGGAAATATGTTGGTGTACTAGTTATAAATGTGTTTTCAAATTTTGAGATCAATCATTAAATTAGATCAAAATGTGTGAAGGTTTTTGTGGGTTGAGGTCTCAAAAATTGGAGCTTGAAGGTCAATGAGTGTTTCTAAGATCTTTAGCAATTTATCAATTGGATTAAAGTAAAAATAATTTATATGAATACTAGACTAAATTTTCAATGTTTAGGTAAAATTTGAGAGCAATTCAACAATTCAAAAACGAGATATTAATACTAGAAGTTTAGTATTCAGGTTGAAGTAGGAGGCCATCAAGTATCCAATTTGATTATCTTGTATTTCTCTCAATTAGTAAGTGCAAAAAATTTCATCTTTCTTGTGCTTGTTCCTAACTAAACTATTAAGAAGTATACAAATTTTGAATTGATATCAACAATTCGATCATTAATTGTTGAGGTTCCAATTTGTTATAGGGTTTGGTTTAGAGTTTGTCTATGGTTTGGTTAGGGCTTAAGTTTTGGTCTTGGATTTGGTTAGGATTAGGATTTTCTTGTAATTTGGTTTAGAACTTAACTAGAAGTTGATTAATATTTGTTTAGGATTTTATTAGGATTTCATTAGGATTTGATATAAGATTGGATTAAGGTTCAATTAGGATTTTAATTAGGATTTTACTTAGGATTTGATTACAATTCAATCAGGGTTTTAATTTGGATTACATTAGAGTTTTAATTAGGATTACATTAAGATTTTATTTTTAGTATTTATTTATGATTCTTTATTATTTTTTTAATAGTTTTTATTTCTAATATTTCTTTAAAATTATCATTATTTCTTTAAAGGTTTATTTTTATATTTCTTTAAGATTAGTTTGGAATTTCTTTGTGTTTCTTGTCTAACTTCTTTTAAATTTATTTTGGATTGGTCAAAGTTTAATGAGGATTATTAAAGTCTATTTGTTATTTAAGATTCTATTAGACTTGGTAGGATTGTTCTTGCATTTCTACTTACCTTCCACAATTAGGCATCCAGTGCATTTTTAAGCAAGAACACATGTAATACGACAATGCATAGATGGAATTAAAATAAATTATGGCCAATGCTTCCAAAGAAAGACTATTTATATGTATAGATTGTGAGATAATAAGTTACTTCCAAATTGGAAGAAATTAGATTGTAATTGATATTTTTTTTTGTAATGATTCCTTTTTAAGTCTTTTTAGTTTTTCTAAAAGTATGTGCATGGCAAGTACAATAGTGCACGCATTGCTTTTAACATCTTCTTAGTTTTGTAGGAAGTATAAGCATGACAAGCAAAACAATGTTGTAATTGAGTAAAGATACAAAATATTGCATTTACTCCCTATACAATTAAGTCTATGTCCAAAACTTATAATTTTTAATGTTTTAGATTTTATATTATTTTTATAGTGTAAATGTTTTGGAAATTCATCACACTTAAATTTTAGTTTTTCATTAAAAAACAATGCATGTGTTGGTTGTTTTCAATTTTTTTTAAAAAAATAATCATAATTATATTAATTTTGTTTTTTTAGATTAGATAAAGAATTATTGGATTGTCAAAGTTAACAATGATAGGTAAAAGAATTAATGGTGTACATAACAATTAACAAGACTTAAGGTTTTAATACAAAAAAAATATAAAGATAGATATATATATATATATATATATATATACCAATAATTTTTAAATAGTGATAGCAAAGTTAGCATAGCTTGGAGTTTTTCACAAGTTATTGATGACAAGTCCTAATCTTTTTGAAAGAAGTATAATAATATGCACAACAAATACAATTTAACCTAATTGTTAGAAGTTAAATGTTAGTTGAAAGGAGCATAAAATTATCAAAAATAAAATTAAAAATAAATACAGTTTATATTAGAGATTTTTAAAAATCAACCTCAATGACCTGTAAAAAATTACCATTTATCAATCATGATTGTATACGCAATTCTGTTTAATAATTTAAAAATAATCTTGCATAAAACATTGTACTATTAACTAGGTGCACTTAAGAATCAACCTAAATATCAAAAATTAGACTATAAAAACTAAATTTAATTCTCCTCATGTAAACAAACTACCATCCAAATACCTAAAAAAATAAGCTATTTTTGACAAATTGATTAAGAACCAATTAATATTCTGCATATTATTGAAGACAATGCAAATCGTATCAGATCGAGCAAGCTTTTGAATGAATAAAGTCTTGAAGAGCATGTAACGCAACAATTTTTGGGCTCATGAAATGTCATCCATATATAACTATTGAGAATACTGACAATATTGTACATGTTAAATGATACTAAGAATCCGCCTCTCACAACTGTGCAGTACCTACCATATCAAGGAATTACAATTCCCACAAATGTTCTAATTTTAGCTACTTGGTTTACCCTTTTCACTGACCATCATCTATGTTTCTAAGTTCTGAACTATTTAGTTTACAGGAGGAAGGCATATAGCAATCAGAAAATTGTCAAACAAAAGAAGCAATCTGCACCCTCAAGGATAAATTTGAATTGTTTACAAAAGATTCATCTTAGTGTACAGTAAATTTATCTGGCTTGGACCATCGCTGGCGTAGCTAGTATGGGTTGTGCTCTTCTCAGTTCCGACGGTCCATTTTCTTTGCGGCTTAGATCTCTCTTGACAAGAAAAGCTGGTAGATCTGAATCAAGATTATATCTACCTTCATATCCAGTTTCTTTTTCCCAAGCTGGGTCGATGGGAGGTAAATTATACTGATCAGCTTTTAATGCTAGCTGAAAGACTGGCAACTGAGGTGTGGCAACAGGTAATCTGCAGCAAATCATTCTCATTCATTAAGTGAAAGCCAGCGGTAACTCGCAATCATGGCAATCATACAAGACTAGAAGAAAATAGAACCGAGCACTTCCGAAAGAGCTACGATTCATAGCAACAAGAAAGAAACAAAAGAGTGGAGTTATTGCTTACATTTCTTTGTGGTACTTTTCTTTAAAAAGCCGAGCTCTAACCAACACGTCCCTGGGAATCTTCTCCGATAGATACTTAATGGCACCCCAAGATGGAGGCACTCTACATTGCACAAGAGAAAATATTATGTCCCAAATATCAAACCCAATATCTGAGTGATTCCTCATGTTCAAAGTACGTGCAGATAAGCTTCAACTAGGAAGGGTTGATGAAAACATGTAACATCAAGGACTGCACGAATGATCAAAGCAGAAGCGGAGTTATACATACTTGGTCATGGGCTCTGCATTGCCAAATTCAACTTTAATTCTCTGACTCTCTTTCAAGAAGGTTTCCGCAGCTCTTAGGCAGGTAATGGCTTGGGCATGCATATTGTCTTCATAACCCTCATCCAGAATAAGTCCATGGAAGTAATACGCCCCAACCTTGGCTTCAGAAAGCTTCCAGTTGACGAATAATAGATATTTTTCTCTCCGCCCATCTGCCAGTGGTGCGCATACAAGCTTCTCACTGACCTGTAACGACGTAATATAGAGAAATATTATTTATCCATGCAAAGTGCGATCCGTTGGTATTGCAGTGTACATAAATCAAATAAAGCACCGAAAAAAGATGAAAAAAAGAATGTATATTCTATACGCTAAAACCACACTTAATCGAACAAATCTAATGTATACTCTTGAGAGGCTTCAATCCTGTTGGAACTAATATAAAAAGAGATTGTAGAAAAAAACCAAGAGCGGTTTTCATGTATTGAATAATAATGAACTTCTGCCTACCTATTCAAAGATTAATGATAGAATACAAACCTCTTCCCAGACTTTCACATGCTCACATGCTATTCTTCGCTTCACAGCCAGAGATGCTTTTACATTGTCCACTGCAAATCCCAGCTGCAACTCTATACCCTGCACAATGAATAACATATCTAATACATCTGAGTTCGAGAACTAGTAAATAATGTACAGCTCATATTGAAGCAAGATTAGCAATTTTCCACTTAAACAAGAACTCTCTGGAGTAAATCAGTTGAAAACAGCTTACGTGGCCCAAAGCTTGATTTTCTATAGCTCTAAGCATTGACTCTGTCAGAGCAGCAGGTAATTTTTCTCTGCACGAGGAAACATGCAACCAACATTTAAATTACAATCCCCAACTAACCGTTTAATAAAGAATTGGCGAACAAGGTCAAAATTCGTAACAAGCAATGGAGCGAGGGTCAGCAAACGCTGAAAATCCATCTGAAAGAAGCATCTGGATATGCAAACTCCCACTCCAAAACACTTGTATATCGTCCTTATGCCCAAATTAGTCAGTCACAGTATACTTATTTGTATTTAATTTGACCCATGTGAAAAGAAAGAAAAAGAAAAAGAAAAATAAAATCTGAAAGAAAAATAAAAGCAGGAAAATTTGTGCAGTTCAGTATCCAAGGTAACCAAGTCTTACTTGACATCTTCAGGGGTATTGGGTAGCACAGCACGCAAGGCACACTCAAGATATGACGCAGCTTTCAGTAATAACTCAATAGCATTTCTCTTGCTGTCTGATATATCCAACTTTTCATGTTAGATATTAAACTAAAGCACATAGTCGATTTTCAGAAGCAAGCTGCAGGATGTGTATAACTCGATACTAGTGCCTGTGCAAAATATAACCTTGTTTAAAACTTGAAATCTTGTGAATTTGTATATTTGTAAAGATATGTAGTGATTTGTTGTACATTGTCTTCCTAAGATTGCAAGATGGCCTATTTTCATGTTTTTTTTTAAAAAATGTTCTACAAACTCATAATGCTATAGACAAACTCATTATCTTTAATTGTTGCACCTCCGAGCAGACTGTTGTTGAATTCAAAGGAAAGATAAGTAGCAAAGTCAAGAACTAATTTGTTTGTTGTTTATTTAGGCTAAAAACATTGTTATCCAATAGAAAATAAAAATAATTAGCATTGTCTAAGATTATGGACCTACTCCATTAGACCAAATGGAATAGCCAACATTTAATCTGTTGCATACACTGCCAAGATACGTAACATCTTCCCAATCCTAACAAAAGATGCCAGTGAATTAGGCAATAGAGCCGTTACCATGAAAGAGATGGTAAAGCTAATAGGAGTTTCAATGAAATACACTGCACCAAGAAAAGCTAGTAGACAAGTGTCGCTCGAAACATAAAAGATTTAGTGCACAGCAGAGCAAATACCTTCAGTGACTTTGGGACTATAACCCTCTGCAGGTGGTCTTGGTGTAAGGCATGTATTAGCTTCTTGCAGTGCCAGAACCCCCAGCAGATGAAGTACCGATAGCAACTCATAATAAACACTTCCCATAGAAGTTTCCTGTCAATAAAGATCTTCAGTTGTCAGCCTTTACTACAATCATTAGTAGCCGTTACTAATTGAAAGTTGGAAGCATGACAAGTGAATTGCACATCGTGACAACCAAAGACGCATGCACATTTTACTCTAGCAGATTTACAAGGTTGACCAGTACATGAGACTGAATCAGGTGATGGTATTATTATCTAAGAAAGCCTGTAACTGGACAAGATGATGATTACCAACCTTGTTCTCATCTTCCACGTTGGTCCATTCAAAAAACAATCCTGAAGTCAACTTCTCTCCTGTGACAAGAAACCGCATCAAGTCGTAAGTGCAAAAAGCTCTCACTCACTTCTACATTCCAACCTAATCATTCACAGACATGCCAACAAAAGCAAAACAGCTATGGCTGACGAAATTGCCTAAATACTCTCTTACAACCTACTTCAACTGTGGAAAAACTGTAAGTTGTTTCAGCGCAGCTAAAGCCTCTCCGTGCTCATTACAGTTTTGCATTGCCATAATCTACCTTCCAGGACCTATACAATGTACCTTTGACGCCTTCAAATTTGCAAACGAAATTGATGTTGCTTGGTCACAACAAAATATGACACAATCACAACCGGTGGGGTTTAAGACACAGTTCTCATTATAAATCCGAAAAATAAAATGGAGACTTTTGTAGACCTCGAGTAGTGCCCACCTTTAGTCATGAAACCCAAGAGCACAGGAAGATAGTTTACTAGTGCCTTTTCCAAATGGACGGCGGCAGGAGTATCTGCATGTGATCCATAATTCAAGGATATTACAAACCAAATTGGAAGGGTCAAAGAGCCATCGACTCAAGTTCACCATACAAGACCTTGTTATCTGTCTGAATCATCTTTCACCCACCTTTAATCCCAGCCTGTTCATTACGAATCTAATTCGGAAAAGCTGAAAACAGCCCCTCGTGTTCTCAATTGCACGCCTGATTATTGTTGAATTGTCAACGCAGTTCGACAATAACCCCTAAAAGGCCCTATTCGAAAATTAAGACAGCATAGCACATCATTTTCTTGAGGAATTAAAATATATTTAAAAGTATAACAGGTGTCAGATCTTAACAATTTGTCGATGTTGGAAAGAGCCTGTAGTGTTCACAAGGTAAAGCATTCTCTAGCTAGAGATATACAATACCTTGTTGATGTGGCCTACGAAACCTTCTTGATTTAGAGGCTGGCGTGTACTTCCCCAAAGCAATAAGAACCTGAGATCGCAGCTGCTGTAACCGCGATAGCAAGTCCGCTGATATAGATCCATGCAAGGTCCCTTTCAGATCTACGTATTTGGGTGCTCGGAAGCCCGGGACATAGATATAAACCTCACCGACCACACTGACACTAACAGATGGCGTTGGACCTGTATCATATAAAGCTTCTGAAGACAGGATGCATCCCATGGTGCTGCAGAACCACATTTTTTAACTAATCGTTAGCATGGTATACATCAACCACAAAAGTACAATTGTAATTGTTACTCATCATGAAGAATCAAATCACAAGGCTTTCATACTGATCAAATTGAATCAAATCCTTTCGCCCTAAAATGTTGAGAAAACGCGAGATTGAGCTTCTTTCAAATTACCAGTTCGCTTGTAACTAATCCTGAAAACATATTCACATATGCTTTGCAGGATTAGCAGTGTTCCAGCGTAGGATTGCTACAATAACGAAGTAAACCTAAAATTCTATACATACACTTCTCAACCCATTCGTGAATTTAACACGCTTGCTTACTTTAGCTCGCCCAATCAACTTCGAGTTTCTTCCGAATATAAATTCGAAAACATAATCAAAACCTACAAAAGAAAGACAGCAAGAAAGACAAACGTCTGAGCTTCCTGTTACGCAGAACAAGAAACACTATCTCTCAGAGGTGCTCTCAGAGGGAGCCCTCTAAGACATTTCAGTGGCTTTGCTCCACACGCAGAGCGCCTGCTTGCGCAAAGAACAATTCTTTCTTATCTACCAGTCAAAGGATAAGGGGCAAGAAATTCACATAATCTACTTAATCATCAGATCTGAAACACCCCCCCCCCCCCATGAGTAATCCAAAAAAAATCGAAAGAAGGATAAATTTTTTACATAAAAAAAATACGCTACCTCCCATAGACGCCAAGATTCGTTCCACAGATCCCAACCTTACACACACACACACACACACACACACACACACACACCGTGAACCACCACACGACAGAAAAGCAACACAACACACGATTCAGCGAATGTCCACTGCAGTCACGACCCACCACAACTCTACCCTGACACTCGCTGGGGTCAAGAAGGCCAGCCAAGGAGAACGATCGATCGGGCAGAACCAGATCTCATCAAGCTAAGAAGGCAGCAAACAAACCAATCCACATTACTTCTCACGAACACGACAACCTCTCTCTCACGTACCCGACGCAACACACGGGCTAAGATTGTGGCACCTCAAAAGCGAGAGAGCGAGATGCGGCGATCGAGAGTAACACGAAGCTGGTAGAGGGCAAGGAGTGCAAGCAAGCAAGCAAATAAGGAAGGAGGGGTAGCCTGCTGTTGCAACAACAACAACTACTACAAAGGAGGAAGAGAAAGAAAAAGGGGATGGATCCCTGCTGCAAGGCACCCTGCTTCTTCTTCTCCTTCTTCTTTCTCTTCTTTGGTCGCCTGCCTGCCTGCCTGCCCGCCCTGCAGCTTAAGCTCCCCCACCAGGGAAGGGGAGACAATTATCAACCCAAATTGCTCTTCTGATTGATTGATTGAGTTTATTATGTTAGCGAGCGAGCGATCGAGCGAGCTCTGCCTCCTCCTCCTCCTCTTCCTCCTCCTCTGCGCCTCGCCTCGCATCGCATCGCATTGCGTGTGGGAAGGGACTCCAAATTTGCCCTCTCCCTCCCTCCCTCCCTCCCTCCTCGCATCGCATCGCATCGCATCGCGTGAGTGTGTGCGTGCTTGTTCAGCTGACCTCGCTGCGACGCTTCGCAACACCCGAGGCCTCCTCGCCATTTCCAAGGGGGCCTGGTGTTCTTGAAAATTCTAATCTTGTGGGGAAATGGGGTAATTAGGACTCTGCGTTGCCCTAATGGGCGTCCCTTTCTGGGATCAACTTTCTCCGACACGGCACTGCTGAGTTGAGTAATGCGTTTGTATTTCCTATATTTTTCTTATTTTTCTTATTTTTAAAAAAAAATGTATTTGTAGTTGGAATGTTATAATAATAAAATTAAGACATACGTATTGGTGACCTTCTCAATTCCAATGGTAATTTCTATCTATAAACGTCTATGTAGTTTTTTATTTTTTACTTTTTTCACAACTGCTTCTTATCTAAAATAATAAATGATTGAATAAATGTTTATTTTTCTGTTTTTCTATTTTTCTCACAACAGATGTATTTTTCACACATATTTACTACATGTCAAAAACCCATTTAATGTAAATTACCCATGTATCATTAGGATAAAAGAAACTGATTAATTTTATAAAAGTCGACATCTTAGCCAACAAAAACAAGTAATGTATGATATAACAAAATTCTAACTTGAACAACAAAATTGTCTTTACACAGATGTATACTTACTTATACCATACAATAAAAATTGATGACTTTAAAAAAATTACTATTTGTTACCAATAGTACAAATTTATAAATCATTTTATAGTCTTGTAATTGTTATAACCATAAAAAGTATTGATGCCTTTATTCTTTAGATATGTTCTATCTACATCTCTTATTTTTTGCATATTAGCATTGAGTGTTGTCATGTGGTCAAACTATCAAAAGATATGCTTAGGTTTGTTTGAAAATGCAAACATGTGAATGCAAGCATCACATCACATGTACATACAAATAATATATATTTTGAGATTGTATACTTAATATTGTAATTACAAGTAAGATTTTTTTTTGACCACCTTCAAGTATTTGGTGGTTTTATAAAGTACATAAATAATGATAACCAAGGTTGCATATGCTTCAATCTAATTACACAAAGATAGAATTATTGAAATTTATATATATATATATATATATATATATATATGTATAAACTTTAGCTTTATTTTGTTGTGCATACTTACATAAATTTATGATAGAGAGTGTGACTTGTGGACTCCACCTAATGCTCCAACTAAGAAAAAGGTAGAATTGCAGGTTTGATAGAAACTAAGTGGACATTGAATTTGAACTTGTACAACAAAATAATTCTTTGCACAACATAGGCTTGCAAAATAATGCACTTGAAGGATTGAGGCACATCACTAGAGAAAACAAATCCAAAGTAGATAATCTAATGTTAAGAATCATGTGACAAGGGCACAATTCCATGGGTGTGATGGATGACTTGGGGTCTTATACACCCTTGTTACGTTTTCTTTGAAAAAGAATGCAATGGGGAGCGGAAGGATGGTTTAAGATATAATTGTTTTAGACCATTCCGAAGCGTCGCGCAACGATCCTGGCTGGCGGGCCGAGACGCCTTCGTAGCTCAGTGGTAGAGCGTCAGTCTTGTAAACTGAAGGTCCGGTGTTCGATCCACCGTGGAGGCAGTCTCTCACCAGGTCATAATCGTAGTTTCACCGAATAGAATTGTAACAAAATATTCTCTATTTTGCGACTCTGGGCACTGCATCTCAATAATCTCGTAATCTGCAATCAATCAATCAATCTATCTTGCAAACAATCAAACATGCCAAAGCAATACACCCACTCCAGTTGCCAATTCTCAACTACCCATGTTCCTGGAGTTCAGAGGGATTTTTATGTACCAGGGACACGTTCAATCCCCTAAACTACTTTGCAGGTGCAGTTCACACTCCTTTCGTGCTCTCGATCTGGCCATGTGCTTACTTACTTACCCCTGCAACTGCAACCATCATTGCTCCAATTTATATCTATATATATATATATATATAAAAATGCACATGTGGGCATCCTTCGCAACCAAAATGAGATACTTTGCATACCACTCATTAGTGCCAGGACTCAGCTCTTCCCATTGTGTGTGTGTGTGTTGTTTTTTGTCAACAATATTTTATCTCCTGGTACGTACACATGGTATGAAGATACAGACAACTGCACATCCCGTACAACTTCCATGAATGAATGGCCCCTCCCATTGCACTTACAGAACATCGTATTTCTGATGGAAGGTTATATTGATAATTTCTTCCATGGCGAAACGGGGTTTTTAACGGTGCCACAAAAGCCGCCATGGCTCTGAAATGTTTCTACGCAGGTGCTGTGTTGTTCTTCTTCTTCTTTGTTACAATTGTTGTTGTTGTGCTCAGTTATTAGGATCTGCTAATGGATTAAGGGGTGTGTATAAGAGTTGTTACTATCGTTGTTTGTGTTCTGTGGTAGGAAAGGTGTCACTGGGTATTTTAGTTTTCTTTTCTTTTTCATTCTTCTGTTTAAAATTTTAAAATTTGACATCTGCATGTGAAAAGACTATTAACATGAGAAATTCAAATTTTTGAAAGGCATTGGATTGTGGAATTTGGAGAGGGAGCTAAAATAAAGTGTTGTTATTTGATGTTTTCCCGAGCAAATTTTATTAGAACAAGTTTACTGACGTTGATCTTTGTAACAAGACATGATGTACTCAAGTTGGGTTAAATAATTGTAATTCTATATTTTGTAGTATGCAAAGATTGTTATGTATAAGGCGTTTTCTTCTCTAATTGCTCCAAAAATATTTGTCTTAAAATATTTGTCTTAAAATATTTGGCTAAAATATTATCAAATCAAATTTTTAAGGTAAAATCTAGTGGTTTGAAGAACATGTTATTTTTAGATCTATTCAAAGAATTAATATTTGTTGATTTTGTTGATGGTATTTTTTAAATTACAACATTTGCATTAATAACTTTATAAATTTCTTCAAAGTTATATATATCATAAAATGCATTATATTGAACATTAGAAGATTGGTTGAAATTATTATTATTTAGTGATTTAATGAAAGATTGGTTGAAATTATTATTATTTAGTGATTTAATGAAAGATTGGTTGAAATTATTATTATTTAGTGATTTAATGAAAGATTGGTTGAAATTATTATTATTTAGTGATTTAATGAAAGATTGGTTGAAATTATTATTATTTAGTGATTTAATGAAAGATTGGTTGAAATTATTATTATTTAGTGATTTAATGAAAGATTGGTTGAAATTATTATTATTTAGTGATTTAATGAAAGATTGGTTGAAATTATTATTATTTAGTGATTTAATGAAAGATTGGTTGAAATTATTATTATTTAGTGATTTAATGAAAGATTGGTTGAAATTATTATTATTTAGTGATTTAATGAAAGATTGGTTGAAATTATTATTATTTAGTGATTTAATGAAAGATTGGTTGAAATTATTATTATTTAGTGATTTAATGAAAGATTGGTTTTATAATTGATGAATTTTTTAATTATTTATTTCAATAAAATTTGAAGGCTCTAATAAATATAATTAAATATAAAAATACATAAATAAATTTTAAAATTTTAAAATTTTAGTAAATATATTATACTATCAAATATCTAATATATCTATTACTAATATGATATATATATTAGATACTAATGTCAAGTATAATTATCTAATATTTTTATACTTGATATTAGTAATAAAATATATATATATATATATATATATATGATGTAGTTTCTTATACAAAATTATAATAATTTACTCATATTTTCTAATACATGAAGAAGTTTTATAATTCTTATTGAAGATAAAATTTTGACATATACTATACAGAAGAATCTTTCTACAAAGATGCAAATGCTTTGAATCTTTTCAAGGTTCAACACAAGATTTAAGTTTGTCAATTGAGAATTCAAACAATATTTGCAATATGTGCAAAAACAATGACATTATTTTTCTCCCATATTGCCAATGTTTAAGAAGTTTGTAACATATCGTTTCAGATTATTATTTTTTTGATGAGTTGATGGATTCTAGATAGGCTAGTTTTATTATAGTTTGGAAGAAAAGACAAGTTTACACAAACAATTCCTTCACAAAACCCAAAAAAACATAATAAAAAAGTAATTTTACTTATATTTTTTCATAACATCATTTATCAAGAATTATCTTGCACTAGTCAAGTCCATTCGACCAAGTTAAAATTGTTATGAAATTTCTTTGCAGAGCCATATCTAAATTGCAGGGGTTGCACCAAATATGCTGATTTAGAAACTCGAAAACTGTAACTGGAACGAATGATTAAAGTTATTACTGAGATCTAGAGGAGTGTGCACACCTTGTCATGGTTCGGTGTGTTTTGGATCAGGACTTGTTGCGGTTGTTGTGAAAAGAAATGAGGTTTCCAGCTGCTAGATCCATTCAGAAATGAAGACAGTCCGTTTGAAGGAAATCACGATCGGTTGTTGCATGGTGAAAAAGAGAAGCTAATTCATGCATCGATTCGAAGTGAAGGGACCCACAAAACTCGTCTTTGAAAACAGTACACTCTCCTCTCTGCCACTACGTGATTCTGTGTGAAGATTTTGGCTGGACGTTGTTGTTTCATCCGTGGTGCAATGGTACAAGTTCCTGTCGCTGCCATGGGAGTGGCAGCGCCAGAAATCCGTCTACCTTACTAGCTACAAATTTACAATGTACAAAAGGAAACGGATCGATTTCCCACTTCGAACTTCCTCGCGCAGCGATGAGGTATCGCATGCTCATGTCATTATAGGTGCTATCGATCGCTTCTCATAAGGACTGAAGCGTGTTTCCCCTTGGTGTACGTCGTCGATGATAGTCCTGCTTTGGTTCAACTGCTTCATATTTGCATCGTGTCTAGTCGTTGTCTTTTCGGTGACGGAGAGCTGAAATCCAGCGGCACCTTGCTCTCGCACCGCGGACACTTGGGGTCGCTCTTGTTCAGCATCACGTACATGATGCACCGCGTACATGCACCCATTACAAGAGAGCCAGTCCCAAACGTCGCATCTTTGCTACTCTCCGCTTCACAAGCCCTGTCGAGTCAAAGAATCACACGTTCAGTTCCCATGTCATGCTCCCACTTTACCCTTAAAACCTTTACATCGATCAGAGGCATGCGGAGTCAAGTGATCAGAGGGAAAGCGAGTTTACTCTAGATCTGACACAAAGGCGTGAGATGTCTCCATTTGAGTTGACGTGGCGCGAGTGCCGAGAGATCTAGAGTATGTTGAGCTTGCGCTGCTGGTGGAAGGGGAGTAAGACCAGGAAGGATCCGAGCGAACCGAGGTAAGAGAGGAGGTGGAGGAGGAGGATCCCATGTGCTTTGGATCGAAGACAACCGTCGTCATCTCTCGTTTCCCCAGGGCCTTCTCTGTCCTCTTCAGAGCCCTCTCCACCATTTCCACGGTACAAACGCTAAATTTCAGGTCGTGCGGACGTGAGGGAGAGTTGCAGACAGCAGAGAGGTTCAAGTTCAGCTCCAGCTTGGATTCCTCCTCGTCGGAAGAATCAGGGAAAGGTACCGCTCTGGGACTGCCGCCCATCTTGTTGAGACTGACTGTGCTATAGCAGTCGGGCTGCATGTTCCACCGCTGCTTACCAGCGGAGAATGCGAGCAATTGCGAGGGTTGTCTGTTACGAGCATCTCCCGAGGACTCCGGTGATGTAGAAGCTCTCATACGCTCTTCTCGGAGAATTTCCGATTTCTTGCTGCTGAGAAACTCGTGCGCCAGAGGTGATGGTACAGATGTATCGACAGCCAAGGCCGCTTGCTGTTGGTGCTTTCGTGGATCCTCGTTTGTTCTCGTGCCCGTGCTCTTGTTCACAAGGTAAAGCTCTCCTGTCTGCACATAAGATGCTGTTCAATGAAAAAGCGGGCTCACTCAATCAAAGCACCATGACTATGGAACTACAAACCATCGACTGTTTTCGCAATAGCTCATGCACCAACATTCTTAGGTGTTCGGAGACAGCAATCAAATATAACTATCCGAGGAAGGAAGTTTTTCCGTGAATAAAAGATGTAGCCCCCTTCACGAGGACCACTAATGCTCACGAAAACAAAACTCCACACAAATTCGTGATTTAATTTTTCCCAAGATAAGCCCAAGATCCTACAATCAATGACCCTTTTCCAAGACCCAAATGAGTAAAGCTTTAAGGGGTGCCCTGTGCAACTTTATTCCTCTTAAGACCTAAGGAAGAACGTGGTCTTAATCTCAACCCCAATGAATCTGTCAAGGCATAACTAGAACACCATCGACTGTTTTGTCACCTCTTTCTTTCCATGATTTGAAATTGAACAGCTGCAAGATCACAAAAGATCCCAGACACACCAGAAATCGAAACTCCGCAGATAAGGTTATGGCAATACAACCATCTGAATTCCAGCGAAAATTCTCGTTAATTCGCTCCACAAGACCGTCGGAAAATGCGAGATGAACACCGAGCAAGCATGCTAACAAAAAGTTACAGAGGTTTGAGGCTATTGTTGGGTGCTGGCGAAGTGTACCTTCAGGTCGAGGCACTTCTCCCAGCCAGAGGGGAGAGGGTGATCGGGGTCGAGTTCCAGAAACTCAGGCGAGAAGAAGTTGCACTTCGATCCCGCCCCAAGAGATGAAGGCGAAGATGGAAACGCGGCGTCAGTGACGAGCAAGTCCAGCGTCACTTCCGACCGCTTCGATTCAGACGTCGTGGCCGAGGCACAACCAGACTGGCCCATCATCAGTTGCATCAATCTCTCTGTATCCGCGCCCCACGCGTGCTTCTTGCTCAACAACACCGGGCTACTGCCCAACTCTGCACCTCTCCATGCCATCTCCATTGCTACAGCCATCCGCTGTCCTCTCAAAACAGTGTGACAAACTCCCCCACTGTGCCGATCCCAATCCTGCCAACTGCAATTTCGGTCCGACTAACTACGAGAAAATCCCTCCCCTCTACTACAACAACGTCTAGCTGAAACCTGTGAGCCACCTAGACAGAAATCTGCAAGACAACAACCTCTAATGAACACCAACTTCTCACCAACTCTTCATATCCCCGACAGCGGAGAAGAAACTCTCCGACGAGACTTGAGAAACAAACAAACTAACTAAGCTAGAATTGGTTGAAAATCCTTCATGGAAACAATGGCAGTCATGAGCAGCCAGAAACTGTAGAGGAAAGTGGGTAGAGCCAGATGACGGCGAGGTGTGACATGGGATGCTAGTTTGACTATCTGGGGGGACTCGCCGGGCAGCAGTCTTCCCCGCCCCTTGAAGATAGAAATAAATAAAAAAACAGGATTGGTGTTGTCTTAGATGCAGTGGGGCGGGGTCGCCGATCAACTCGGGGCTGAATATCTGTGGCCATCATAAATGAGGATAGAGAGGAAGCTCAAATGCTGGTGGGAAGTGAAAAAAAAAAGATATTGTCCCGAATCCTGCTCTTGTACTCCTTCCATGGTTTCGCTTAAGTCTGTGCACGATGTCTAAACCGGTGAAGTTGTTGTTACTTCAACCGAGACCGATACGGCGTCAACGTAAATCTCGACGTCGAAAACCGCGGTGAAAGTAGTAATCACCATCACCAACACCACCACCACCTTGCGGCTTCTCATTGTTAACGGAGCAAAGCGAAAATGAACTTACAAACGTTGTGAATGGACTACACCTGCCAGTGGTCGGCTCAATCTCGCCTTCCACTGCAGTCCCAGCGAGATTATTGTATATAAAACAAGGCGGAGTGTGTGCATTTAATTCCAGCTCCGTGAACTGCAACCGTGCTTATTGAAAAATCTCCCCGAAGCTGGATCCTTGCAAACCCATTACAAGCCACACCCCCTTCCAAGACAAGACAATAAAATAATAATAATAAAAAAAGGAGGGAAAAAAAGGAAAAATCAAAATCAAAATAGAAATAAATATACAAATAAATAAAATGAAGACGGAAAGAGCTTGGGGGGGGGGGTTGTTGACACTTGAAATCCCTCAACCTCCCACACACACAAGTGATGCAGAAAAGGACGGTTCGACAAGAAACTGACAGTGTCGAAGAACTTGCGGCAGCCAAGTACTTGCGAAATCCCACACACACACACACACATCAGCCCTCGCTCCGTGTCCATGCATCATCAAAACATCCCATCCGAGCTTGCACTGCAAATCGATGCGGCTGATTTTGATCATCTTCTCACCCCTGTTGCTGCTGCTGCTGCTTCACCCCAAAAACACAACAACAAAAACACTGCCATTGTGGTGAGCTAGTTTTCTTCTAGAAAACTCAGTTCTGTACAGAGTAGTTGGCTGCTGTGGAAGCAAGAGGACCCCACCTGAGAATTTCATGCTCATTCTGGGCGAGTCCATCGTGCAAGGGACACGAAGAACAAACTACCCTCCGAAACAGCGAGCTGAGTGTTTGTGTCGATTTGTTTACTTAGTTCAAAAATTTGGACATGTACAAAAAGAATATTGGGTGTGTTTGATTCTTTTGGTAGCCCAAGAGTGACAAAAGGGTTTTTTTTTTTCTTTTTTTTTTCTTTTTTTTTTTTTTTCTTTTTTTTTTTTTTGTTGTTGTTGAAAATGTAGTGTGTTATTTGAGATACTATGTTATTTGTGGAAGAAAACTAATTGTGTCATTTCAACATTATTTGTGTTGATCTTTAGTGCCTCATGAGTAATAAGATTCATTCTTTCTTACAAAGAGTATGAGCCTTTATTGGCACATGTTATGTACGTAGATTATTCTTGTAACACTTACTCAAAGAAGAAGAGTTTTGTTTGCCTCCTAATTGGTGCTTGACTATTATCATGAGAGGCACAATTTTATATACTATCATTTTATGAATGATAGTATACAAAATCTTGTCTTTTATTTTTTTTTTCTTTTTTTTCTCTTTTTTTTTTAATATTTCATAGCTAACTTTATGGTTAGTTTGGCAGAATTTATGACACAAAGATGTGTTGTTTTGTGTCTTTCAATGTTCTAATCTTAATGAATTTTACTTGTAAAGTCATAGAGAGGAAAATTAAATTTGATTTTTTATATTTATTTTTATATTAAGCTTATTGTATAATATTAAGCTATACTTCCTATTTCTTTAAGGTTTAGATTTAAGATTAAAAATTAAAATAAATTATGTCTTTAGAATACTAAAAAATAAAAATAAACATTTATTCAATCATTTAGTATATATATTTTTGATTTGTATAAGTTTAAAAACTAGTCAAATAACAATACATTCTTCAAAAGCATCATATATTTTGGTTAGAATTACAAAATACTAATAGAATTAATTTCCACAATATCTAAACAATAATTGTCTCTAAAAAAGAATAAGGATTCATATTATGATACCCATGTGGATTTGAAATTGATTCTTTGAATAAACTTCTTTCCAAATCAATAAATAAAAAGAATAAATATTCATATTTATACTTATACGTATTTAATTTTTGAGTGTTATATTTATAAAATTTTATGGAATTTGATTCAACCATTTATTTACTCATAATTGTTGTCACTAGCTTGGGTTGTCTATATTCTCAAAATACATGCCCATGCACTATTGTATAGAAAAAAAATAATCTAAGGTGTTAAAATGAATTCTTATCAAAATATATATATATATATATATATATATATATAATATTATTTACCAAAGTTGGATTTTTTTTTTATATCTGCACAAAGTAGTTGGATGGTAGAAGTCACCTGAACAAAGTCCTTTGGATTCCTAAGTGACAAATGCTCCCAATGGGGAACACGTTCCCATGATTCGTTCACCTCATTAGAACAAGTTTCCACACCCACCATATTGTATGTCTGACTTAATTCAATTAAATTTTGATTAAATTTTCATGAGAAATTGTTTTGTAAGATATCTTCCACGTATGGGACTCTGGTTGGTAGTGACCTTTTGTTTTGTTCCCTTGACCAGCAAAGTTTTCAACCTCACATTCAATAGAAGAAAAGTCTTTTCTTCATTAATGATAGAACTGCTTCTACTGTACTTCAATATTTCCAATGTAGGAATAAATTTATTGAATTTTTTTAGCGTACTGAATTGAATGTTGTTTGATTAGTGGAAATTGTTAGGGGTCTTTATATTTAGGGGAGAAGATAAGAGGTCACATTTCTACATGAATGTATATATATATATATATATATATATAATTTAAAAACTCTTCTCTCTTTATTCTATGTACAAATGCAAAACTTCTAATAGAAAGTTTTTTTTTCCCTTTTTTTTTCTTTTTTCTTTTTTCTTTTACACAATTACTTTTAAAGTAGGGTTTAAGATATAAAAATATCCTCAGTAAATGCATAAATACTTTTTTTTAATGTTATATGTGTATGTGTTTTTCAAATACATCACTTTAATGTTGAACTTATTTAAGTATCCACTACAACCACTGCAATAAATTTGAGTATCAAACTCGACTTTTGGTACATTATTGTACAATCATGGTTCTTTGACAAAAATTTGATTTATGAAACATTGGGTTCATGCATTTAAGATTATTGTAAATACAAATTTTAAATAGTAAAAAAATATTCACTAAAAAAACCATATAATGATTACAAACTATAAATAGTGTTGCAACAAAAACTAAAAAAATATTTATTATTTTCTGTTTAGAAGTGGTTACTTAATACATGTTTACATATTCAAACATGGTTCACAACTCTTGTGATAATAATAAAATTTATGTTAATATACATGTTTAAAAAATACAAAGCCTTTCAAATATGAATTTGTAAGCCTACAAAGAATAGTAACTAAAAATACTTGTATATATATATGAAAAAATTACAGACGAGATTTAAGTGAAAAGGTAGAATACAATGTGGGAATAATTTCACTATATATATATATATATATATATATATATATATCACCCAAATAAATAATATCATTAGAAAAATCACAATAAATGCACAGCAAACTTTCAATGTTGCCAAAGAACTGTTCTAACGCTTTGTTTGCCAGATCCAAAATCAAACTATTCTGTGCCACATCACTCGTCCAACATGTCTTGACAAATGAATGTCCTGCAAGTTGCACTTTCATTTCAAATGTTAAATTTGCTTTTCAGCCCCAATTGGCCTCAAAATAGGGGCTCTTGGTGGGGGTAGATAAGAGATGTGATAGACGAACCTAACAAGATGGTTGTATTTATATGGGTCATCAATTGGCTCCATTGATGAGAGAGGCATGTGGGGTCTTAAAGAATTTATTCCAAGTTGACCATTCATTCTCATAGTTTTAATGTCCATCAAGCAAGTTGCTATCCAATTTCATGTGCTTGCCCTCTCATTCTCCATCGAACACTATATATGTGTGTGTGTATATATATATATATATATATATCAAACCATTGTCTCCATCATAGCCATGACCGTATTTACAAAGTTTATATTATAATGCACACATTTAATGCACTCCATTTTCATTACAACCACTATGGAGTGTATCACACATAATCAAAGAAATAAATATGTAAATATATATATATATATAGAGAGAGAGAGAGAGGACAAAGAATTGCTTTCATTTAAATATTGAACATATGTAACAAAATTACAACTCAGACTACCCTAATGTATGTTATGATTTTTAATATGTGTTATCATATATAATCATCAACATTGACATTTAGTACACTTCTCTTGTGTTGAATATACTTGACAAATATATTTATAAAATACATAAAAAATAAATTTGTAATTGTTTATTTTATTAAGTAAATTATAGTTTACTATTTGTGTTGTATGATTCATAAACATGCAAGATTTACATAAGACTTTTTATGGACATCTTCTATAAAGTGTTGCTCATAATAATGATGTTACACAATAAATACAATAATAATTAAAACTCCAAATTATGCAACTATCATCAAAACTTAAATGTCCTAGGCTCCTTGTAATCTTCTTAATATAATGATTTCTTGACGCATAATTAAATTATACAAGAAGCAAAATATGCCTATGATGTGCATTTGTATAGATACATACATTTTGAGAACCACATGATTAAAATTGGAGCTTTAAAGCTTGTGTCTATACCTTATTTATTTTCATTTTGATTCATAGAGATGGTTGTACTTTTTGGTTAGTTAATATTGTTATTGTAATTTATGTCTATAATCAATTTAAATGATTAATACTTCTTTAGTTAGGAGTGGTTAAAGTTAGCAAAAATTCAGACAGAAATATAAGCAGGAGGTGAGCTGGATGTGCACACACACATACAAAGACACATGCATATCACACTTACAGGATTGAAGACATCAAATTCTCCCTCACTCAAGTACATGCCCAAACCTCTTAAATTCTGTTGAGCTATATGTATTATTATGAAATTTCAAAGTGAAGATCATTCATCATTCATCACTCAAAAACTAGATCTGTAAAGCATGAAAAAAAAAAAAAAATCAAACAAACAAATAATAATAATAAAAAAAGACTTCTCCTTCAAAGAAACATGAATTTCCATTTAAATAATAATTACAAAAATTAATGGGTATTCTTGCAATTAAGACCTTCTAACAAGACGAGGCCGCCATTCCAGACATAACAAAATTGTAGGGTCGACGTGCACACCAAATGGCGTTGCAATAATAACAGAAAAGGTCAAATGTGGCTTCCCAGCTTCATGAGGAGCTCTATTATAAGCCCAAATTGCTAAGGCTGCTGAGAAAGTTAATGCAGCTTGTGAGAGGGGAGAAAATGTGCTGCACGATTTTAAAGCATTTAGACGATAGATCTGCGCTTAATATAAAGCTCCAAGTAGCTCGAATTTAGGTTTTCGTAGCTGGGGCATGCAATATTTTATAACTAGTAAGATATAGGTAAAATCTACAGTACCTCTTATTCGGGGGGTAGCAGTCGTATGGTCGCTTCCCGAAGTGAGGAGGGCAGCATCTCATTGTTTTCACTGTCATATATTTCCGCGCCCTAACAATGCTAAAATTGAAGCTGACTTGGGAACAATGATGACTACATTAACTTCCGGTACGAAACTATATAGCAAAGCTGCGGGGAGTTAAGATTAATGGGACTTCTTAACAGAGTTAAGCAAGGGTTCTGTGCTAATAAAACGTTTCTCATCCTCCAACTAGCTCTTCAACATGATCATAAAGACTAGAAGACTTGATCATCCATTTATACATATACTTACATATATATATGCAGATATTTATCTAATCACTCTCAATTCATGGTGAGCTGTTGATTATACTAAGCCTGCTATGATTGAGCACAGGGGGTACAAGAAAAAGGAAGAAGCTCGAGTCTACTGATTCGCTGTACGATATTGAGTAATGGCCCATTTGGTGAGGTTGTGCTCAGGGCGGTACGTAAGGACGAAGTAACCCTACTCGCTTCACCGGCTGTACGCTGGTGAATACTGACCCGCTTAGTTTGACACCAGGAAGGAAGCAGAAATGAATGAAAGAATCCCACTCTTTCCTAAGAATTGATAATCTCATGAATGATGTCGCTTACAGCTGGATCCTCAGAGCGAACTGCAAGTTTCATTGCAACCTGCTTTTGAGAGTCTATGCCAACTGATAGGCGAACCAACACAAGAATATCACCGATAAATTTACCAGCCAACAACCAAATGTGGGACCTCGCGTTACTTGGTACAATATCTGTTCCCTGCAAGTCAAAAAGATTCCGCCTTTAGATGCCATGTACATGTAGTTCATACATGAGAGTTGCGCGACTTTGGCTTCAAAACCATAGTGGCGGTTCTTGGTTCGATTCAGCACATTTACCTCACAAGTTTGCATCCCAAGAATTGTGGTAACTGCTTGCACAGCATCTGCCAGATCCTCCCTCACGCCAAGACTGTACTCATCGACACGCTCCAAATCCGAGTCCAAAGATTCCCAAGCGTTTTTGAAGTTTGAAATTCGTGTCTTCAGGATATAATCCGCTGATGCAACCTGGGCACAAACAAGAAAAACTGATGATGGTTAATCAATGTACTTCCACCTGGACAATATACCACTGCTTTTTTGTAGTATAAACTATATAAAGTCAGATTATAATTGTTGGAAGCACTTGAATAGACGACCAAATCTGACATGAGAATCCTATGGTCAACTCAAGTTAACGCCTGTAACAAGCCAAACAACGTAGGAGTCAAAAAGAAGTTAATGAAATCTACGAGAAGCCCACCTCTAAGTCTTCAAGTTGATATTCATCCTCATACCCGTCTTCATCTGCATCACCTGTGCTGGGATCCACCTGAGATTAACACAAGAACTCCTTGCATCAGGCGACGTATTTGTGTATGAAACCTGTACATTCAATTCTGATGCATGATAACGAAAAGTTGAATAGTATCACATCAAGTAATTTCCAAGCAAAAAAACTTAATACCTCCTTAACAAGGAAACGCAACGTATTGGAAAATTTTCCGAGGGAACAAGATCCCTCTGGTTTCTCAAAAGCGACAAAAGCCTGACCAGGTACCCCGCATGGCATAGATGCTAAAGGCTTTGTAGCCACATGAGTAAAGTCCTCCCCCTCTATGCATTCCGAGACCACTGTGACCTGCATGAAATAGTCGAGTTGGTTCTTAACAAACACTCTCGAATACGTAATTCAGCGGAATGCATTGATGTCAATTTTAAAACCAAGTTCACTTTCCAAATCTGGTAAACGCACAAACACTGTATATAACAATCGGAACATTCTTCTTGAACTTTTCCACATTTCCCATGGCTTACATTTTCAAGAAGCTGCTCTGAGATGGTGTTCGTACAATTGAACTGGAAGACGATGTGTCCAGAGTAAACATGCTTAATCACGTTCACAGCATATTCTGTTTCTGCTTCTGTTAACTCCACAGGAGCAGACGACTGTCAAAAGTGCAAAAGTCAGAGTCAGTTTCGGCAGACATAAGGAATCCATTTCCTGCAACTAAGTATGACTTCCCAATATCCTTACACACAATGTACAAAGCCTTGTAGAAAGATAGATTAGAGGCTAGAGATCCAACCACAATGATAACCAATTGTATCCCGAAGATACAAATGAAAATATGAATATCAAGCTTTGTCGTATTTGATAGCACTAAAAACAGTAAAACCACAAGACGGACAGGTTCAAAACCTTGAAGAGTTTTCCAAATCCAGCAAACTGGGGGATCGAGTTCAGTAGTTTCTCGTAATCCTCAAACAATTTTGAAGCTCCGTCGTCGGCTGCTGCTTTTAGATTTGCAGCCTTCTTCTCACTCCTTGTAGGGGCCTTCTTCTCCACTTGGTGCTGTGGTTTCACATCCTTGGGAACTGCTGACAAGTCAAATGGCCTCTCACTTGGCTCCTATAAAACCACTTGCAAAGTCAGCAGAAAAGGTAAACAAAGAACGTATCGATGATGCTATGGGTAGCTGGACAAATATACTTCTAATTATAATTACCGCTGCTGTACAGCAAAATTCAAAATTCGAGGTTCTGCACGAAAAACTACAGCTAATTTCATGTGTGTAAGCTGGACTGAACAGCGTAACAAGATTGATGATAAAATCTGATGACAATAAATGATAGAAATACTTACAAAGGATTGTAAACTTGTTTCTAAGTTTTCCAAAGGCACGTCCAAACTCTGAAACAAGAATGCTTGAGCATCCTCTTGAACTGTTTCTGGTTCATCTGTGAGAAGGGATAGATATAGAGTTGCTCTGTCACGCACCTGTCATCCAAATTTCATCACATTTCTGAGAATAATAATCTTTACCCGAATCTATACTAACAAGGAATGGTTGTAGAACTAGATCAACTAAAAGTCACTGCAGGATTAAAAGGTTATACAAACAAGGAATTTAGACGTGATATAAATGCGCCCAAAGTCTTGAAAAAACTTAACATAGAATTTTACACCTAGAATTATAGAATCAATGAAACTTCTACACACCCACGTACCCGCAATAATTTCACAATCTATAGTCTTCAACTTCTCGTTTCTCATTTCCCCAATAAACACAAGTGATAATCTAACATCCAACTACAAAAGTTTTCCAGATGAAACTGCATCCACAAATGTACTACTGCGTACTGATATGGCCACCACCTCTAACTTGATCAGATGAGATTCAAAAACGACGTTCCATTTATGGACCATGTCTAAACACAAGGCAATGTAGATACCTCATCATCGTGGTCGTACAAACATCTCCGCAACAGTACGAGAATTTGTGGCTTCAAACTCTGAATCAATACTCCGAATTTTGCCAAAACACTGACAGCACTTGCACGCACTGTTGCATTCTCCAATATAACACGATTATATACATAGCGAATATACTTCCTGGGTTCTGCAGTTTTGGGCCCCTCGTTTCCAAGGAGGTGCAGAATCTGCACAGTTTAATTAGGACAGTCAAGTCAATTTTTAACAGTGAACAAATCAGGAAATGAAACAAGGTCCCCGTTGGTGATTTTAAATGATTTTTTAAAAAAAAGTGTTATTATTATAATAAACTGTCTCTAACTCAAGAAATCAATTGAGACAATCTCCTTCGGATGGGAGGGATTTCACAGCAATCAGTGATTGCTAACCTGAGTAGACAGGTAGGTGAATTCGCAGTCTTCTATGAATTCGCAGAGATGAGAGAGTCCACTTTCCTTAGCGTCAGGAATCTCACGAATGAGGATAAGTATGGAGTCAACAATCGCTTTTTTGTAATCAAACCCTCCTTCCTCTCTTAATATGTTGCTCAGAAAATTCATCCTGAAAAAAAGGAGCAGGACGCTCGTCATGCCAGAACGTAAGTACCAGTATCATCAATCAAGCAAGTATTATTCTGACTTAAGCAACTAGCATTTTAAGAGCCGTGACATATAACATGTAGTCCATGCAGAAGATATTGTAAAGAAATAAAGGTGTATCAACATGGAGCTCACAATGAGCGATATTTTTGAGGGAACTTGAGACACAAAGAGCGGATGGCCTCCACAACCACAATCTTGAACTCATCAGCTATGTCTGACATGAAATTCGTGATCTGTTTCATAAGCCGATCAACACTTGATTCATTGCCAGTCTTCAGTAAAGTAGTGATTGCAAGAGTAGCAATGCTGCGGTTTTGGTCAGAAATGAGACTTTCCATGTCGATGTTGCAGCTGGTGACTGCTAATGGATGGGTCTGTGCAACCTGCATAACAACCCGAGGAAACAAAATGCTTAGTGCAAGCGATTGACAGGTATAATATAAGTAAAATAATGCCTTTACTAGTCTTCATCCGCAACAATACTTCACTGCATTATTGGAAGTATGAAACCTAAGGGAATCCCACGACTGATAGATCAGTAGATCGGTTATGATACACAATAAAGCAACATGCAATAAAAATGCATCCAAGGTCTTCTAATAAGATTAAGGATCTGAAATTGTTAAGAGTCGTAATTACCTTGTTGAGAGTTCGAACAGCTGCAAAGCGCAGAACGGGCTTAGATGAACTCAAAAACAATTGCAATACAGTGATAGCTGGCGCGAGCTCTTGACTGGTAACCCCGCTGAGTTCGGTTATTGCACGAGCAGCCTCAAAAATGACCATATCTGTCTTGTGCCGTAGACAGCTCTCTAGAAAATCATAGAATGGCCTGTTCCCACTCATATTGTTCGGACCTGATTCCGAAATTACCTGGCATTGTGTACAACTAGATTATCATCATTTGAACCACAATTTTCTGCTTCTTACTTGGGATGACGTTTATACAAAGAGTCTTCAAATGAAGGCTGGATCAAAGAACCGGTAGAAACTGACAACTTCACCCAACTCGGTCAACACCAACAAGCATTCTCTCAGAGCAACTTATGTAGGTAGTACTACTGTACCTGGCTCGTGTAGCGGATGAGCAAGCATTGAGCTAAGGGAAACCGTACACTTCCCCTGGTGAAGCCACTCACCAACTTGTTCAGAGCCAATCGATCATTTTGACGAATCTACCAACAAAAAAAGACAACAACTTCATGAATGTACTGTCATGAGAATGACTTTTACACAACTGCAACAATTGATCTTATCCTGCGAATATGCGCATTCAAGGTAGACCTAACTTCACATATAGAGCCCCACCGTGGACAATCCTGAGTGAACAGGTGTCCTACACAACGACAATTCGTAAAAATGGTAAATCAAGAGGGGAAAAAACAGTGTATGAAAGAAAACTGACCTGATGAAGCAATGCCAAACCATGGAACTGAACAAGTGGTGCCTTGGACTGAACAGCCTCTTGAACTTCATTACTCCATCGCTTCACAATTTCGGGATTGCTCTATAGAAAAACATTTCATAACGAGAAAGTGAAAGGACATGGCCAGATTGTTGGATTGTTTCTACTTAAATTGTGCAAAGCAAAAAGGAGTGACCGAATGTTAAGTACTTTTGAGGAGCACAAATATAATCCTGCTAAGGACAATTGAAGTTCAAACTCACTAACTGTCACTTGATGCTGACTACAAGCCAAATCCGTTGTTAAGTTCTCGAAACTCGGTATCTCTTAAACATACTACCTGAAGTAGATGGATACCGCTGACTAGTGCAGCGCTCGAAACAACAGGATTCTTGTCCACAACAGCCTGCTTGAGATACCGTTCAATCTGGCCTAATAAACCACCATCTGTGATTCTGCAGAGGACCCGTATAGCGTTCGCGCGATAAAGATCTGTCTTGCTGTTCATATCCTTCATTAATGAGCTTGTTACAATAATAACCTGCATCAGAGATGCACTCGTCAATATAATACGTGACTGTAACTGAAAGTATAGAAAATACAGTGCATGCAAAATGTTGATAAGATCTTGGCACAATGCACTATCACACTGATTTATTAAGATTGTTGACACAAGAAGCATTGGTGAAAGATGACAATTGTCGACCTTCATCGATGAAAACTTTCATCGAATGTTACTTAATAAGCATGAGATACATTTCTTTCAGCTCGACCTGTGATATTATGGAGATTTGAGATAGGATCTGCAGAGAAATACTAGTTTTCTGTGGTCATTATGTGTTCAAAGAGACGGCAGTGACGCCAGCCGTGCCATCTCTACTTCACTCAACTCATGCAAAAATTCTATAACTTCAGAATGATGCGAAAAGCACCTCCACTTGACTGCATCGTGCAAGGTTTAATTGCTAACATCAGATTCAAAGAACCACTGAAAATGGTTGCTACACAAGTGGACAACATATTACCTAAACCCACGCGTAAGGCACCAACTAATAAAGAAGACTGACCGCTTTTAAACCCATTCTGTTGAACTAGGGAATTACTCTACCTCATCATTTGACGGGGAAATCTCTTTGATCATGAGATAGACCATACGTCGTAAACCGATGTCTTTTGACTGGAACAGTTTAGTAGTCGCGAAAAAAACATCCGTTGCTTCATTCTGGTTACGAACAAAGCTCACGTTAACAGAACTGTACTAGAGAAATATTCATTCGAAAGAAACTTTCACCCTGCAATATTCTAGCATTGTGCTTTAACAAGAATTACAGCATTACAACACATCAGACATTAGCAACACATAACCCTAAACGAGTGACATTGATCCACATTTCAACTAGAAGTGTTCACCACGTTGCAATGACTGATCGAGGTGCAACCACTACAAGGTAAATAACCTAAAATTGGTAGTATCTAATTGTTCGCACCTTTGTAAAAGTTTCGCCCTGATTGATAAGGTATAGCAACTTCGTAATAACCTGATCAGAATCCCAATGCGAACGCCACGCACAAACACACAAGTCCGTAAGCACACAACAGCACATCGCAACGCAAAGACCCGATTCGACAAACTCTTTCGACAACTACACAACTAGAAATCGGGCATTGCATTCCAAGTCACCAAACTACACGCGGCCAAGACGTGACAACGCGATCATTGGCCATCACTATTCAATTCGTACCTGTGCACACCGACGAGCATCGAGCTCTCGGTCATTGAACACGCGCGCTTCCTGCAGCACGGCGCTCTTCTCAATGCCATAGAACGGCGAGAATTCAGCTGTAAAATCAGCACGGAGAAACAGAAATAAAATTAAAATGTCAGTAAGACACCCTCCGAAACACACAATTCGCCTCACCAAAATAATTCCCCTCCACTCTGCCCCCGCCAGATCTTAATCACTTCTGGACAGATCTATCTCATTTTAGAAGCAATTGAAACTCACATTCGTCTTCAATGTCGTCGTCTTTCTTGAGAACGGACTGGACGAGCGCCATGGCGATAAACAGAAGCGTGCGAGAGATCGGAAGCGTGCGACAACTACGACGCGAGGCCAAAACAAAAGAAGACAGTGCAGCAGCAACAGCACGAAGAAGAAGGGAGTGACCAATTCTGACCCTCTTCAAGGACGATATCCGTTAATGAACGAATATCATCCTCTTTCACACCTGTAAGCCCTGTTGGATGAATATATTCATTCATTTCTGGCAATCATGTCCGAGCGCCAGCTCAGACTCATTTCGCATTCTGTTACAAAGTGTGTTTATGAGTTGTCGAATATTCGATTCTCATAAAATATTCCTTTTGGTTTCACTGCTTATATCTTAACTTAGAACTTCTGGGTTGCTTTGTTATTGAATACTTCTCCATATGTGAGCTAACAATGTAATTCAGGAATGATTATTTTACAAATATGTAGTTTCAAATACATGTTTATTTTTGCAACAAAATGAGCTATTTAATATAGAATCATTTGTATCATCTCTTTTGAATAATGAATGCTATATTGTGTTTGTTATTTTGCAATAATAATAATAATAATAGTCATTGTGAGTAATTGAAATTGGTGTTTCGGTTGTGTATTTTCCACTATAGTAGCACTCCGTGTGAATTACTATTTTTGGGAACATTCTCGGAGGCACACGCGAATAGTTTTGTGGGTAGTTTAGAGAGTATGTAGGATATAGTTACACATATTCTTCCAGGTGTAGGTGGAAAGAAAAGCAGACAGAATCAGAATTATCACGACATCGATGTATGCTCAGCCTTGAAAGTATAACCCATTTGCACTTCAAAGAGTGACTCCTTTCCGTAAGACGACAGACCAGATCAGATCAGATCATGGAAGTTGGTTTTTATTACAATTCGCGAGTGAAGAACATTTTGTTTACAGAAAGGAATTAACTCACCCTGAAGTAATCCAAAGACACATCGCAGTGGCGGACTTCAAGAGGTTGATTGAACAATAGAGATGTTTGTCGATTGCAATTACATGTTCTGGAGGATACCAGCTTCCTTCGTAGCTATCAAGGAAGAGAGTAGCTCAGGTCATGACGTGCATATAAGTTAAGGTGGTAAGAAAATAGGCCTCGTGGTGATGGGTACGCGATCGCAATCATGTTCGAGTTGATATTCTCTTAGTTAACACTAATTGTGATGCACCCCTTATGACGTGTTTATATCTAACACCCTCTGCCAAATGAGCGTACTTGGCGAAGAAATCTGGTGATGATACCTCTACGAACTGAGGCTTGCAGACTTGGCTTCCACGCTCAATGCCTCCAAGTCATGCTCATCAGCGACTATGATGGATGCTTGTCTCTTGAATATCTGCATTAAACATCAAAGAATGTTAAAGTAAGCTCAGGGACGACCAAAAGCACTTTGACTTATCTCAACAAGGTAACACTTACATACACCACCATAAAAGTGTAGAATGTTCATGTTCACGGTTCATGAATTTTGAAAGTAGAAATGAAGATGGATTTGATTCTAAGCGCTTACTTTCTCAAAATAAGGAAGCTCTTGTTGAGCCGCCCAGACCTCGAGAGAAACATCACGAGCTTTACCTGTCGCCGGATCGGTAGCTGGTACTACGGCCTTGATTGTATGAAGAGGGTGCAAAACAACATGAGTAGATCTCTCAAGAACGTGTATAAAAATTGGTCCTTTTCCTCCATTAGCATATCTAAAATCGCATATAAATCATGACAGCAACAGGTACCTAACCTCTTCTGGGCATTACGTGTGCTTCCATCTAGTCATAGGACGAATTCTACTGTACTTGTGCTTGTCCTCTTTGATTGATATGATGTTATCTTCTGAATTAAAAAAATTAAGCAACACACCAGGCTTTTCCAAGTTATATTGCCACATTGGAACTTACAAGAAGGATGCTTCCCGATTGCTGGAAGATATGAGCATGGCGGATGGCGCTTGAGTCACAACGGTCTAGAGCAACTGCTACACGCATCACTGCACACATTGCCCGAACTTTCTTTTGTACCTGGACGAAGATTATATTGACATTGTTTAGAGTCACTGATGAAGAACCTGTCGAATTACATGTGATAACGGCATCTAATCCCAAGATTTATTATTGTTGTAGTCCAACTCTATCGTAAGTGCATGGATACCCAAGGCCAAAGACTTTCTGACATTAAACCATGCTATCCACAAATATCATTATTTCCTTCAAGAATACTGGAGTAATGTGTAGACACAGTTCTAGAAGTTTTTAAATTTATTTTTCTTACGGTTCTAAAATTCGATACCTCGACACGAAACAACGTTGATAAGAGAGCCCAAGAAGGTAAGCTCAAAAGAAAGAGGGACGCACCTCTTCGGGCAGTTTAGCAAAGTCTTCATCTTTTGAACTGGGAACCTTCTTTCGATGATATCGTACTAGAAGTGCAAGTATCTGCAGCACCAAATGGTGATCCAACATAACTTTGAACTCAGATCTCCTTCAAAAAAGGGTAATTGGCTATAAGGCATTAGGTGCAAACTCAAATCTGCAAGGCAACAAGCTACATTAGGTGAACTAATGAAAAAAGAAAAAAACAGATAGAATAGATATACCTCAATCTCCATTGGACTGTAACCGAGCAGATGTTCATTATTCTGTATTCAACACCACTCCCTATTAGAGTCCGATATTCCTTTCCCATTTTTACGGATATAAGACAATACAAGAGCAACAAATTCGCACGAGAATTACCATCATCAAAACATTCACCTAAAATTTACATATATATAGGCATAATTAAAACATACACGTGAAATTACCGAATAAATGAAATAATGGCTTTCGGCTCTACCTTTATTAGGTAATAAGAATGTTTGTGATATGACTTGTGGTTGATAAACATCCCCACGTAGTGCAAAATAGTAGCAGCTTCCAATAGGTCAGCGTCACCTTTATTCAAGAACAGAGCTACGTCTGAAACACATTCTTTAGTACCAGTGCTACACATTTGCAGTCCAGCAAGAATATCCTGCAGCGAGACAAATATTTGCATAAATATTTTTTACGTCATCAACGGACACCCTCTGATACATCTACGAAAAAGATAAATTTGTGAGGGAATACATGAAGTGAAGTATTTTTGTAAACAGCAGGATTTTCAGGCTGTGGAATTGCAGGTAAGAATAGAAATATTACAATGGCAGAGCAAACACAATCCAGCTAGAATCACAAAAAAGCGACTAACCTTCGCAAGACTAGCGGAGTGCTGCGCAGACTCCATTCGTCGATCTGTATTGAACTTCAATGCGAGATTAAGAATGGAGGTTTTTCGGATATTAAAACCAGGCTTATAGTTCTCGAAGATTTCAGCTAAAGTGTCAACAATAACTCCCTCTCGAAGAGCATATGGTGAAACCATGATCTTCTTTATTCCCATAGCTAGAAAAATTTCTTCCAAGAGCACAGCACCCGCAACAATGACATCAGCCCGTTTCTCAGGTAGTCCAGGTATCTTCATCCGCTGCTCTAAGTTCTTCGCTTTACAAATCTGATCACAAAGCCGGAATGTTAATGGATCTGTGAAGTACTGTTAGGTTATCAATCTACGCATAGAAATATACTTTCTGAACCTTTGTGTACCAAAAGTAAAGTATGATAAGAGAATTGATACCTTCTTAACCACCTGGTTGAGTTCATCCGCCGTGAACTCTCGATCACGTAGTAAATTCGCGTTTGGCTGTCCATCCACATCCTGATGATACATACGTGTCAAACTGATAATGAGACAGCAACCCGAGATTTCAGATAAAAAGAGCAGCGAAAACTCCCACAAGGATTTGCCCTCATCGACTATCCAACACGTACTTGTGAATCACTCGACGTTGTGACAGTGTGGTGAATCATCTGTTCAATACTTTCGATGGTGCCCGAGCTCCCAACGGCCACTTCAAAATCGGTAGCTTGCACTTTGTCGATCACACCAGAATCGGCTAGTATTACTCGAATGTGCCGTCTGAGCTCATCGATCTAAAATGCAACGAACACCAACACGAGATGCCCAGGAGTGTAATTGTTGCCTCGATTACATTAGAGTAACAAATAAATTACTGTCATCACCTTTAGAATGCAAACCGAAGAAATGACAGTGCAAGACAAAGTCAGCTTATGCCTCCAGAAATGCCCATTGACGTAGTGTGAACAATAGAGCTAACATTTTGACAATGGCTGCAATTCATCAGGGACAATCAGTAGGAACCTGCTCTTTCTTCAACTCGTCCTTTTTACTCGAACCTAGCGAGAGGAATTGCTGTGAGAGCCGAATATGACCGAGCTTGAGCGAGGTTGCGTAGATAGGCTTCCCTTCATGTCCCAAAACAAATTCGGTTGAGCCGCCCCCAATGTCAACGACCAATATTGTCTTGTCGTAGACAGGAAGAGCCTGCAATACTCCTTGGTAAATCAGGCAAGCCTCCTCCGTCCCTGCAAGAACCTCAACCTCCAGCCCTACTGTATCACGAACCCTCCGCACAAATGTGCGCCGGTTCCTGGCTTCTCGAACCGCAGAAGTAGCCACAAGTCGCATTTCGGCCTTCCGAGTTTCGGCGAGGATTTTGAAGCGCTTTAATGCAGCTAAGGCACGGCTCTCGGCATCTGGAGTGATAACACTTAAATCAGGACTGCCACTACCAAGACGGACGTCTTCTTTCTCTGTGTCCATCAACTGGAACCGACCTTGACTGTCGGCTCGCACAACCACCATGTGAAAAGAATTGGTTCCCATGTCCACGGCTGCCAGTATCATATCTCCTGCGAAATGTATTTCAAGATAAATTCCTCGGAATCATAAAGGCATTGCATGTGAGGCATAAACCACAGCAGTCATTGATAAATGATAGATTTGTGCATTGCCATGTGAACAGTGACTCCATATGAGTGACAACCATGGCGCAAGCTTCAACACCCCAGTAAACAACATACAACACTCCAATCAGTAAAACAGTAAACTAAAAATTCTTATGAGGTTAGCTGACATACCCTTTTGGGCTGATTTAGACCCATTCTTTCGGCTGGATACTTGGTTAAGGGACAAAGGGTCAGCGTCTAAGTCCTCCACACCAATCCCATTTTCAGTCAATCTGTCTGCCTCGGCAGAACCCACAATTTTAGCAAATAGAGGTGCTTGATTATTGCGAGCTGTGCGCTTTAACGATATCGAGCTGGAAAAGTTTCCAGTTTTCATTAACCGAGCATATCCATATGTAGATGACCCATGAGCAGATCTTAAAGAGGTGAAAGCAGTATAGCAAAAAAATTCTCCTCTAGTGGAACCAAGAATGTCGCGCTACAGAACCACCCCACAAAAGGAATAGGTCAGTTGTTCTTCCCATGGTATATCAGAGTCCCTACGCTTGATCATATACATGTGCGTAAGAGTCAAGTTATCAGTATAGGGTCCTAATAAACACAATGACCACTCTGATACCCTGCAAGTTATATAATGACTGTCTACTCTCAAGTTCACAAATTGAATTTATGACTCTCTTAGAGTAAAAATTCATGCTACGCTTCAATAATCTTGATACGGCTCTAATACCAGAGCATCCGAGAATTCCCTCAATGGTTGAAAATTGCAAACGAACTAATTTGCAGAAAATTCCATGATTAAATTTCAGAATGAACATAACCCATGATCAAGTAACATTGCTTCTCGCATGCATTTCTGCGCTAGATTCCAAAATTCATCCCAACATTGTACAGTTCGATCCGAGTCAATGACATTGAGAATAAAACACACACTTCAACATAAACTTGGTCAATTCGACACAGAAAAACCTTTCAAATCCACATTTAAACGTTTGATTCCGGTAACACAGCTCTTCACGGAAACCGTGAATGCTGGACTTTTCAAACTAACCCTCGAACGTAAATTATATATGGATGTAAGTGACTTTACTGCAACACCATTCAGTTAAAGTCTTGTGCACTCCCAATGTAACAAGCAAGTATACAAAGTTTTTGAAAGACAGGAGATGAGCTGCTTACAGCACGCACGAAGCTCCCCGCGCAGATCATGGTGATCCTTGAAAAATCCCCTCAGAGATGAGGCAGGTTTGATAAACAATCACCCGCTAGCAGCGAAAGCAGCTGACCACTGGCAGGGCCTCAATCCCTCCCATCCAGCTGAGACGGAAACTGCAACGAGTGAGAAACAAAACCCAACAATCGGTGGGTGGCACCACCAACCCATGAACTCGAATCAACAGTTTTCAAACTAACAAATCTGAAACTTCAAACCACGGAATCGTGCGACCATTATCAAACACAAGGAACAACGCAATCAAACTCCTCCAACATAACTCAAACCGAGAAAAGAAAATTTTTGACACAAATCGTTAAATGAGATCCTTGTCCACTAAACACAAATCCCGAAGATTCAAAAAACAAAACAAAACAAAAAACAAAACAAACTATCAACAAAAGAAACCTTCTCTAAACCTCTTTTTGACAACCACTCGCGTCAAATTCAGAATATGAATCCAGCGTGTGAACAAGCTTTCAGAAACTCAGAAAAATGGCATCATTCGGCACCAGCTCTTGCACCATCGGACGAATTCTTTCTTTAGAGCGGGACAGAAAAGAGGAGGAAGAGCTCATTCTCACCCACAACTGCCCTGAAACTGCACCAAAATCTCCAGTTGGCGCAATGGCGAGAAGGAAAATGGGTATCAAAATCAAGCGATCGGCACGCAAGCCTAATTAGAAGGGGAATAATACAACTGCAATCTGGGAGTGGAGCTCTCTCCCTCGGATTGGAAGGAAGGGAAGAGCGAGAGGGGGCAGCGTGGCTTGTGCCACCCAGTGCCTCGTGCTTGTGCTTCGCTCACGGCACGCAATACTTCCGTTCACACCACCACACAGAATCTGGATACTTTATTGCTATATTCACACCGCCGATTTACGAGGGATTCGTCTGGGCTGCGTTCACACTGGTAACGAAACAGGGTCGAGTTAGCCAATACGGGTTTGTTGGGCGTGATTCTTATGCATGATTGACAAAAATATCTTTGTTGTTCAGCCCACTCTAGATTCCTTCATTTATGGTTCTTATTATTACCAGGTGAATTTTACGGTATTAGGTTTTGCTTGACATGTGGATGACTGTGGTTAGGAACGTCATGAGAAAAATATTATAACAACAACAACAACAACAACAACATAATAATAATAATAATAATATATGTCATTTTAGAAAAACACATGTGTTGTTGTCGCTGTTATTATTATTAGTAGGTGAAAGTTACAAGGTGAAATTGTTGAAGCAATTTGAGTTGAAGTTGCATGGTTAAAATATATAAAAGATTGATAATTATGGTAAGATATGATTGTTGTGTAATTTTGTCGTATGTTTGGGAGTTTTTAGTTTTTACACCTGCATTCCAATGTAGTATTGTGGGGCTTCCTGAACTTGTATAGATCTTATAAGAGTACTAGTCGAGAAAACAAAAAACCAAAAATAATATAAATAAAACAACAACAACAACAACAACAAAACAACAGCAATATTTTTTTGTCTTACATTTTTGTCAACTTTGGTAGTTTCTTAGACCCCACAATTCTCAATTTTTTTAAGAAATACATCATTAAACATATACTGGAGATCATTTTAGAATGTTTTAAGAGCAGTAATCACATTTAAACTAAATTTAATATTGTGTATTTTTTGCTTTTTACAACTATCAATTGGTTTTACTCTGGAAAATAGAAGCCACTTAAAAACACTTTACATTTAATTCTATGTGCACTGCATCTTATAAAATATATCAAAAATTGACAACATTGACTCAACCAAAAATGCTAATTTTACATTTTACATTTTAACCCACCCAAACAAGTATTTCATATTGAATTAACGTTCAGTTTTTCGTCATGGTTCTGAAAGTATACCACTCTCAATAAAAAAGAAAGATTTGGACATTATGTAACCATGAACACAATAAGCGCTGAACAAGAATGCTGAACAAAGATCACATCCGAGCTTTGATTGAATGACGTCAATTAATAAATCTTCAGGGATTTAGAACATTAATGTAAACTGCACTGTTATTGTGAAATGACTACAGGGGCTCCTCGAGTTCACTTTCAGATATTGTAACTTGAAATACAGTATAATGGTGATTCAGGCTCCGAATTCCTTGTAGCCTATACTTACTCCCCAGAGCCCCTCGGAAAGTGTTCGGGACTCCGAAGAAAACTCTTCTCACTCTCTGATGCACCAATGCCATTGCACACCTGCAATACAAATGTTGCTCCTATCAGGACAGTCATAAATGTTTCAATAAAAGCATTTCATGGAGTAAATTGATTAACACAAGTTCAGAGGAAAGATCTTCTTGACTAACCAATTATGTCCAATCCTAACAGTACAATGGAGCAAAGCAGACAAGGAAAACAAGAACCTCCAACCAACATGGTATCTCAGCAGTAAAACCAGCACATCTCGGAGCTATAACATCTAAATTAGCTGAAAGAATGAGCTTGAGTATCACGTACATCGCACATGGCTCCCGAGTAACGTAAGCATCAAATCCTGTGCATAGATACGGACGAGGAATGTCCTGGGAATTAAATCCAACTCCGCCATCCTGAGAAACCCCAACAGTGATCGATCATTTAAAATCCACCTTCATGAATGTCCATCATCGAATTCTCTTAAGCTCACAACATGAAGATAGTGGACTGTCCACTATCTTCATTTCAGGCATATACAACTGTCCTGATAATCGAAGAGAATGGGTGTCATCTTCTGAAGGTGCAAACAATACTCACCAGATCCACGCGAGGCTTCTTTGCAGCATTACCAGAATCTGCTACAGCATCACAGTCGCTACTATCTGCTGGACGTTGAATGAAGGAATTAGTGCAATTGGAGGGGAAGAGAAGATGGTCTCTGTCTGCTGCCATACTTATTGCTTCCATCACAGCGTGTCTCAAAGGATGTCGTAAGCGCTTTTCCTTGTCTTCACCGGGCTCAAGACAGTAGTTCGTTGTACTAGTGCATTGATCATGCCCCCAAGCAATAACAGATCTCAAGAATGGATCCACAATCACTGCCCCATTTGCAAGCTGCAACACACACAGCGAGCCACGTCAGAAAAAAGTAGAGATAGCTTCAAACCAAGTCGATGCAAGCCATTGCTGATAATGATTACCTGTCCAGAGCTGTGAGCAAGGCGAGCTTGAGAAACTGCTTCCTTCATAAACTTCCGTGCAGTTTCTGCCTCACACTCATCCAATTCCAGCTTGCTCCCTCGTATACTGCCACAACGCCCAAGTTAGCAGATCGAACGACCTAGATTAATGCAGATATAACGTTTGAACCTAATGAGTTACCACCTTCAATGATCCAGCTCAGCCAGGACCGACAAAGAGATCAATATGATAGAATTTGTTGTCTCTCAACCAGGAAACCTGTATCTACAATACTTCCAGGCTAAACAGGCTATATATGCAGAGCATATATAACTCACCACGCATTGGGATGAAAAGATGTCGGCCAGAAAACACATTGCGCTTCCCACTCCGCCCGAGAAGTAGCTTGGTATGCTGGTATCTGAAATTACATTGGCAAGATGGATGAATTCAAAGCACTTATTTTCGATTGGCGTCAAAGATCATGTCATACATTTCCAAACTGGATTCAGTCCAATTAGGTCTTCAAACCACGATAAAGTCAAATTCAACTTTTGCACATGTCACCCAACATAAAACACCTCATCTCCTAAAATACATAACCAAACACAATGAATAGGTGGCAGAAATGCGGCACTTGGAGCATGTGTGTTGCACTACTCACTTCGCAAACATCAGTAAAAACGCACAAGAAACCCCTCGTACCTCGGCAACAAAAGGTACGAGTGAATGCTTCTCCACAATGGCTGCCACGTCGTTTGGGATTTTGAGAGTGTCACTGCTCACGTCTCCGTCGGCAGGGCAAAGAATGATGCTTAACTCTACCTTGCCTGCCCAAAACCAGGAAGAACCGACGTATAAGATCATTATGTAGTTGAAAATAAGGTATTGAATGCAATCAAAGATAATTACAGACAATCAAAGATAACTACATACAATCAGTCTTATACCCTCAGTAACTGATCTGCGAATTCTCTTGACGTGAGCCAACGACGTCAACGGTGCTTTGGTGCCAAGATCCCTGTATTTCATGATCGCACAATCGATGAAGGTGTTATTCCTGCTAAATGATAACAAGCTGAGGAAATTGCATCCCAAACCAAGAAAAACCAAACCAAGCTATACGGTATACAATGTAAAGCTCTTACCTGATGAGGACGCTGGCTAGCTTGGGGTCGATGGAAGCTGCTAGAACATGTACTGTAACACAGAGAATGCAACGACATGATGGTGATGCCACCATTCATCACGCATTCTGTCAGCACCTAACAAGACATCATCACCCTCAAACAAGATCCCATAGTCTATCATTCTTCCCCAACGATCCTTAGCAAGAGTACAAAAATAGCTCAACGGAAGCGTCAATAAATTCCAAGCATTATTCTTCCGCTTAATGTAGGATCGAAATAAAATGCCTCCCTGTAAAGCCTAGCAGGGTAGATGACTCTACTTTTGTACATTTAAGATTTTGGGAGATCACCTCTCAATCATCCTAGCACCATGTTTTTGCACCGCAACCAAGGAGGAAAGCTTGGTTCGAATCTGCACTTTGCCTACTTAAACCATAATCTACAGAGTGTTCCAAATGAAAGGAATAACAAGCTCATGTACAAGGGGAATTCTCGAAACCCTGTACACTTATCATGACACAACCAAACTCATCAAGAGAGCCGTTGACGAATCACAATTCCCCCTCAAAACACTGTAATCCAAATTCGTGACCTCCATGCTGCAATCGAAAACGAAAGCTTTCAATTCACAAGGTGAGTCGTCGGTCCTAGCGATGTACTTTGTGGTTTCACCCTAGACTTCTCTACTGTTAATTCGTGTTATAGTGCAACAAGACTTCATTCCAAAGCAGGGCACGATGTACTTCACAATGAAGGCAGCTTACACAACCTCAGGATGGAAACCTCGATAAGTAGAATAGAAAGCTAGGACCCTGAAACTTTCGGAAGGATTCGCTAAATCAATACTCCAGGTTAATATCTACAGAAGCTCATCCCACGAGTCAATTTTTCAGATTTTGCGTCCCACGTAGTAAATGATGAAACGAACGAACTTCTAAACCAACGAATTTCAAGACTCACGAAATTCCGAAAGCCACGACTAGATAGAGACTGGGTCGAAAAGCTACCCTAGCACAGGTTCTGCCACGAACACATTAGAACTGTACCCACGTACTGGGGCAAAGAGGGCGATCACTTCATCAAAATAGCTACAACAACGCCGCTGGAGAAAAACCCATTTCATCGAGTTACTCACTACTCTTTCAATAGCAATAGTTTCGGAAAATCTTCATAAGCTAACCATGCACACCAAAAACAAAAACTAGAGGGCAATCTCCCTGTGGACAAGGATTAACCCACCAGCACCATAAAAACCTACAAGAAGACGGAGCGAATGCACTGTCATACCAGTTGTTGACGCCTTCTGAAGTTCATCAGGGATGTGAATGACATCCCACTTCCTATCAGGGCATTCTTCCGCCTTGACATCCTGCGCCATAGATTTTCTCTGAAAAAGAAACGTAAAACATTGCCATCACGCACAATAGTATCAATTACAGAGTCCCGAAAATACTATAAGCCCATAACCATAACCTACAAACACTCGCCATCTTCCCCTCCACGCATGTACTTTAAAAACGCACCTTTCTTGCGTCAATTTCCACGCCACAGCCCCGTTTTCAGAACTGCAAATACCTCCTACTACATGATTCAGCACCCGCGAGCCTCCAACAGTAATAATCGTAACATGCGCAGACGATGACGGCAGCAAGAATTCAAAATCGCCGGCCAAGTCGACAGAATCCTCCACAGAGCAATGTGGCTGGAGCGAGACAACCCAAGGCATGGGTTTAGCCCGCAACCATCGTCTGGAGCATCGGGTCTCCTACAGTTCGAACTCTGAATCACTTGAAGGTTGCGACGATGGATGTGGAGCGAATGAATGAGATGTATGCATCGTGTGCATTGGCGTAACTCCGCACTGAGTCGTAGTCGGACGGATTCAGCAATCCACACCTGAGGCTTGTTGCTCCGGCGGCCTTCAGTTGTACTCGGAGCAAGTTTTGAAGCTGGTCATTGTGCATTGTATCACATTCAAGTGTAGCCGATTCAACTCCACATTCTGATCGTTGCATTGACGAGAAAAAAAAGTTTGTGTGAGTATTGGTTGTTGATTATAACTTCAGAAACCATAGCCTCATTCAAATTAGAAGGGTTCAACTCCGTCTGGAGCACCTGCTGATGTTTCGCTAGGACACAGGTTTTCCTTTCTATTTTACATGATCAGGCATCTTGAAACGGAAGCTCATGTAGAATCAATTAAAAGCGTGTGGCGTCGAACTGATGATTCATCAATACTGTTGTATTCGTGAAACATGAACACAGCCTAGGGGAATCAATATTCGGTTCTAGAAATCAAATGATTTGCGTAGAATTAAACCATTTTGATCAAATTATTCATGCCACCACAATTCAGCACAGATTCAATGGCCACCAAGCTGTGTAAGATGCCTTTTGTCCAAATGATCTCAAATGACATGTTCCTCGAGAATTCCATGATCGTGCTGAAGCAACAAAGTATGTCATGGTCGTTGCTGTGGAGCAGAGAAGAGGAAGAAGCAGCAGCCGCAGCAGAAGAAACCAGCTCACCAAGCTATTCATCACTTGTTTTACTCAGACTAATTGGAGTGAACAACCACAATTTTTACTGAGTTTTATGTCAATAAAGAGGACTTCAGATCTCCATTGATAAGCCGAATTGATGTTCAAATTAACCCTAGCTGATGTCAGATTCATCCCAAATGCATAGGTCGTGAGCTGGGCTTTCCAGTAGGTTGATGAATTTCGCTCAGAGGTCTATTAGCGTCACAATTGGACAAAATTTACCCACATGATCTGTTCGATAAGATGAGGTTTAAGCCCACATTTATCTTTTCACTCACTATTACAGGAAATCCTGGACCCCAAGAACATCTTTAGTATTGTGGCTAATAGAGCAAGTGTAAGGTGGAAGTATGCCTTGGTAAGAACTCTTGTAGGCTTCAGATTGATGTACAAATCCAACTTTCATCACCATTACAACATTCCAACTTGTACAAGAATCCTGGCTCTAACCTTGAATTGTAATTGCCTGCAGCTATTACCTATGGTTCATATGGCGCCACTAGGTGGCCAGGATCTATTCACGATATTTCTCACTTCAGGTTCCACAGTTCACACCTGATCACTCGAAGCAGTCTGAAGTTATGTTTCCCATTTCACGAAACCTACTCTTACAATCAACATATTTCAAAGCATTTACCATTAAGGGTCTGGAGCGTGATAATACTCCGGCTGAGGTAGTCTTCTTACACTAGGAGGAGGTCCAGAATTGTCTGTACGAGGCGTACTTCCCCTATCGACCCCAAACCTATGTCCAGGAGTTACTGACACATCATTCCACGGAGTGTTGCTCCTATGATCCGTAGGAGTCCTTTGGTTCACATATGCCTGATTGGGGTAGACTTGGTTTTGAGGCATCCGATTCAGAGCGCCATTAGCACTTGTTGATGGAATCGAAAGATCCGGCAATGAGCGTCCATCCACTCCTGGACGCTCTTGACCTCCTTGCGTGGCTATGGCATTGTATTGAGGACTTGAATCTGATGAATCATGCTCGCTGAGCCGAGCATAGACAGCATCCACTTTTTCCACTATTTCTTTCCCGACGCCCTCTTTGTCGAGGATAATCCCCCATGCAGCTACAGATGCTTTCTCAAGAACGGGTTCTCTGAAACAAAGGGTTAAGAAGAACAAGTTAAGTTAACTTAGCACACTGCACAGTCGAGATTGAGAGTACTTTTGATGAATCCATACACGTGCCATCTATATGCTAACGTAAGTTATGTAACAGAAAGACCTCACTGTGTTTTTCTCCATGAGAAGTGTGATATACAAGGGAGAGGATGAGGGCGTCATTTCGTAAGATAGTAAGCGACCAACACAACACTCAAGCAATCGAATTCTTCATTTATCTCTATCATGAATGCTTCAGTTTGTAAACCTTTGAATTAGCTGATATGAAATCATGTAATATTTAAGTAATCACAAACAGAGTTTCGATTAATCCTCGAAATACAAATGAAAGAAGCTCGAGAAACAAAAATAACTTACTCGAGCTCTTTCCGCAAGGCTTCAAACAGCTCCTTCCGGCTCTTATTCTCTGCTCCTGGGGTATTTAGTACCTTACTGCTCGCCACAAGAGTTGACGTGTAATTCTTTATCTCTTCCTGCCGTAACCACAGAATCAAATTAGCACTAAGCCTCAATAGATGCCACCGTCCGATAAAAAGAATACAACACATCGAATATGTCCTTCCAATCTGTTTGTCGAATTAGAGTGCCAGGAATTACTTCCAAACTCAATTTGCAATTCCAAGCAGCTTATAGTTCGACGGATTTGTATCGTAACCCTAAAGAGAAATAAGGGAAATTTGATAACTAAATTTTATGTAGCACCTGGACGGCAATAAAGAATTGTCAGGAAGATTCACAGAGAAAGAAGCTGTACCCCTGCTTCCCTGAATATCAGGTTCAATCTCCGATTACTGAACAATAACTTCACTTCTTAACAATGCCATATGCTAATCACTTATTACTCAGCATCCAATAAGTTCTGAAATTAAGATGTGAAGAGTGAAAGCAGAAACAATTCGAGCTTACACTTTGCTTCAGCTGATTGAGAATCTTGATTCGCAAACTGTCGAAGTGGCCATCATTCATCAGAGTCTTGAGAACTTGCTCTGGTGATACAGGTGATCCCATCGCCGCTGACCCCGCGTCCCCTGTCTCCTGCAGCATCTTCCCCTCTCCCAGTCTCCCCACCCACTCTCCGAACCGCTACTTTCATAATGCAACCCCCATCTTCATTGCGATACACTATTCCAAGAGTTACTACAAGATTCTGCTCCAACAAGTCACACAAGCCCTAAATTTCATCTACATTCCCACATTGCTTAGCCAACCGCCGTCTTCGACAAAATCACAACTCCATGAAACTGAGCATCCGAAACTAAAACCACCCATGATTCAACCAAACCCTTTAAACCTCCAGAACCTGCACAACCAAAAACAAGACTTCGGAATTAAACGAAACTACACTTGAATCGCGCGAATTAGTGCTGAACTAAAATAAATAAGTAAATAAAGCAAAATAAAACCTTGCGCAACAGCGACATCGCGGCAAAGCAATGATTGACGATATCGTTGGGAAGAAAAGCAAAACACCACCGAAACTCTAAAGCGTGAGCCATAAGACGTGAATAGAAAGCATAACTTCAAAAAACATAACGAAGTCCCAGAAAAATGAGCAGAAAGCGGCACCACCTCACGTAATCTTCGATAAATAAGCCAATGTAGAAGACAACAGATTCACGACTACGGGATGAGGATTCCTTACAGCAACCCCATCCATGAAAACTAGCGCTCGCTGCAGCATAAATTGCAATCGTTCAACGACGCTGGAAAAAGCAAAAACCTATATGGTAAGTTCCGCTCTACCAGCAACTGCATGAACGCAGGTGATGAGAACCGGAAGGCGTGATTCCGGGTATCACTCCAGACGTTGCGAATGGTTATGTGTTGGATAGTTTTTAATTCGCTTAGATGAATGGAAGGAGGATGAACGGTTTCATGTCATCCCTCGCTGGAAACGTCCAACAGTCCCTCCTTAGTGTTGGTAACCGAGAAGTAATTAACATCATTTCTTGATGTTGAAAATTCAATATATATATATATATATATATATATATATATTTATTACTTATATCATGGAATTTTAAATAGACCCAGCCTTTTACTAAATTGACCCACCCATCCAAACCATTGCGAAAAAACAAAATGATGTTTGGATTCATTTCTCCACTACTAGATCCAAAACCAGTGAAAACCAAATCATTCATTATAATTACCATATTCTTCATCATGGGTAGGTTCATTTAGTAAAAACTTGGATATATTTAACATTTCTCTTTTATTTATATATAAATATATTTTAGAGGTGAAAATTATGCATGTTAAATGATAAAAATCTATCTATAAAAGTTAATGACATATTTTTATGAAATATGTATCTAATTTTAATATGTTTAATTTTTTCTCAAATAAATTTTTTACTAAAAGAAACTCTCATATATATAAATATATATATATATATATATATATATATGAATGAATGATAAGATGTACATGAAGTCAATTCTATATATATATATATATATATAAAGAGAGTATGAAGATGTTTTGGGCCCATGTCTTTAGCTTAAAAAAATATCTAAGTGAAATTGAATATAATAATTTAATTTTTATGCATTTGAAAAATATTTTGGTATTTTTATTAAAATAATATATAAAATTCTATTTATCAAAGTAAAGTATATTTTTTTATTTTTTTTATTTTTAACTATTTGGTGAATTGAATTTTATTTAAAATATTGAAGCTTCTTGTATTTTGAAAGATATTTTTTTGTAAATAAAAAATCTAGTATAATTATAAATTTTTTTCTAAATTAATGGATGTATAATATGTATTGTTAAGTTTTTTATTTTTATTTTTTATAGACAAAAAATTTGTATGTAATCAAACTTTAATAAATATTATCTTCATATAAGTTATTCATTCTATACGTTAATATTTTTGAAATCTCTAAACAATTATAAGACTAATAGATAAGTTGTTAATAGTTAGCTTTTTATACTCCCTTTAGTGTTAAGTGTAACTTGATAATAGTTAGATTCCATATTTTATTAGTCAAATATATTTAATTTTATTAAAATGAACAAATAATATAAGTTTATTTTCTAATTATTATAAGTGGACTTATAATACACTTTTGTATATAGTCAGAAACCTACATCCAAAAAGCATAATAGAAATAGATGTATAAATTGAATATAAGGCTTGAAGTCTCCACACTATGATTTAATGGATTCAATACAATGGAGATCCTAACATTTAATTAATTATATACAAGGATTACTTGAAAAAATACATTACTTCTATATTTAGTAAATCAATATTATAAGTTACTATCATGAACATATTTATCAACTTAAATAAGAAGTTTTAAGTAGAAGATAAATATAAGTAGATTTGATATTATCTTATAGTGCAGGTTCTTAAAAGCTTCATAGATACAAATTTGACTTTAAATATGTTTGTAGTTGATTGATAGAATGAAAACTTGGATAATAAGTTAGCCATATGTTACACATATTGGTGGCTTGTGGTATAAGTTGGCCATGTGGAATACATATAGGAAACTTGTCTTGCAAGTTAAATAGAGATCTTATAGAATATTGCCAAATAGCTTCTAGTTAGATAGTATATATGGAAGTAAGAATAAAATCTTCTTCACTCCTATCAACATCTTTTTTGTTCTAAGTCTTATTTTAAGAGTCTTTAGTCTTCTTGTCTTCTTGTCCATTTTAGTTTTAATATTATACTATCTTCAAGTGATTATCTATTCCTTTTAAATAACACAAGAAAGTATTGACTTTTTGATTCCTTGTAATTCATGTTTTTGATAATTATTCATCTCCATCTATATGGTTTAGTTTTTTTTTTTTTTTTTTTTTTTTTTTTTTTTTTTTTGCCTAATTTTTTTTGTAGATATATGTTATTTAAACTAATTGAAATATTAGAAGTCCAAATTACAACTTTGATTGGAGATATTTTTATAGATTTGGACTCAACATGGTCCAATTAGTCTAGTATCTATTAAGTTGAATATAAATTTTGTTTATTATTACGATTATTATGATTATTATTTTTAAAAAAAATACTTATTATTATATTAGTACTTATTATAAAATTATTTTAATTATAAATTTGAATTTATAATAATATAATTAGTTTAGTAAAATATTGTATAAAATATATTATTAAAATAGTATATTGAATTAATATGTTATTAATGGAATAAAGTGAGAATTTAAATTAAAAATTTCTTATAAGACTACTATAAAATATTATAATTTATATTTCTATCAACTTTTAACTCCACTTAGTTCTAATTAAAATCTATTTTTATAATTATATATGTGTTATGTATTCATAATTATATCTTGGACAAGATTATTCAAGTATATTTTCAACTTTTTACTTCCAATGAATGCTTTTATCTTTAGCAATGGCCATTTTAATTTAATTCTATATCATCTTTCAGTGACTTTCTAATTCTTTTTAGTGATATAAGAATATATTGATGATTTGTTTTTTCAAACTTTATGTCTTTGAAAATAACAAGTCATGTACTTCCTTCCTAGTCTTGTAATGTGTAATTAAATAAGACATTTGTTAATGTTGGAAAAAATTAGTTTAAAAAAAAATCTTTATTTTTTAATTATTGATAGCTACAATACTATATATGTATTGTACTATTACAAGATAAGGCAAGAAAGACAAAACTAATAGAAATATTTGAATATTGATGCGTATGATTGAACTCTTGAATATTATAAGATAAAATAATCTTCGCAATATAGTGGTTGAATACTTCATAAAGAGTACCTTCAACATTAAAAAAGATTTTTCTTTTTAAATACTTTATAAAGCAACTTATCACAACCAATGGCATCACAATATTCCTTAAAAGAAAGAGTTCATTATAACATTTATTTCCAACTTCTTCAATTAATATTTTTTCAAGTGATGTAGAGCTCAAGAATATGAATCAAAATAGAGGCAATTAGATTCTAAGCTGAATATTGTATATAGTTATAATTGTGAAGTAAAACTTAAAAGATATGATTGATCCTTATAATTTTTTATTTATTTATTTTTTAAACATCACATTATTATATTTTGTGAACTTTGCTTGAAAATACATATGTGACATATAGATAGCTTAATGAATAAGTTTCTAACCTATCAATCAACTACAAATATATATAAAGTCAAAACAATGTCTACAAATCTTTTAGAAAGTTTTTCTAAAAGATATTATGAAATTAATCTACTTTTATCTAATTCTATATATTCATATTACTTAGATAATAATTATAGTAGACATATATTTGTGACATTTTTCCCCCTTCTAGGAACAAGTTCCACTAGGAGCAATGATCATATATTGAGGAAGTCTAAGATGCGGCAAATTGTATTTGCTATGTACTGTAATCTTTGTTCTTTTTGAAGGTAGTTGATAGGTCCTCTCAGCTATTGATAATATTCCATTCTAAGGCAGAAAGACCACCTTGTGATTTAATTATTTTTGAAACCTTCATAACTTCTTTCAAATAAAAAATTTATAATATTATTAAGAATTGTGCCTACCTCTAATAAAATCACCAAACATTGAGAGTCTTTTCTTAAGTTGTGATATCAAACACGTTGTATCTTTCCATCTATTCAAAGAAGAACATATTTTTCTTGAAGATCTTGATTGCTATTACATCGTCTTGAAGGTTGTGATAATCATAATGTCTCATTTGATAAGTCAGCAAATAATGGCTCTTGAGTTGAATCCACAGGCTATTAATTCTCCATCTTCTTAATACTACAATTACACAAAAACTAATAATAAAGATAGAAGATAGAATGCAATATTTTTCTTTTATAGCAAAGATTTACTATCTTTCATCTTGATTTTGATGGATGTCATTGATGAAAAGCCTGTACCATCTTTGCTGTATTTTTAAGATTCTTTGTTGGTTCCCATGTGCATTCACTAATATCAAATCCATGCAAATAGATAAGAAATTCTAACTTATTTTGGTGCTGCCTTGAGTCTAAAACTGCTTCGACTTCTTCATTATTGTCCATTTCTATAGAAGGGGGTAAGACTTCTTTTCTTCTTGGCATGTTTATAGTCTTATATGACTCAAAGAGAGACACATGGAATATAAGATGGATTTTTATTGTCTTCGGTAGATGTAATTGATAAGCAACTAGATTAATTTGTGCACAAATAGAAAAAGATCCAAGCATGTGGTAGTCCAACTTATTACAAGAATGAATAGTCTTGATATTATGACAAAGTAACCATACCTTGTCACTTATATTGAATTGTGATTGTTTCTTTCAATAGGCATCTAAATTAATCTTTTGTCATTCTTGAGCTTCCTTTAATTGTATCTTCATTGTTGCATATACCTCTGAGAAATAATTTGCTAAATCTTTTATCACAAGATTATCAACTTTTGAAAAGTCAAAAGTATCAAGTCATAGATGGTAACCATAATTAGCAAAAAAAAATATTTTTTGCATGGAAAAATGCATTGAATTATTACAAGAAAACTCTACCAGTAGCAAGAGGATTTTCCAACTGTCTTGTTGATAATTAATACTATACCTTAAATATTATTTATAAACTTAATTTATACACTCTATCTGTTCATTAATTTGAAGATGAAAGGCCAAAAAAAGCTTTATATCCACCTTTAGAATCTTAAAAATGGTTCTTCAAAATCTTGATACAAATTCAGTCTCCTTATCCAATATAATATCTTTCAACAATCTATGATACTAATAAATATTGTCAACAAA